TTACTGTTAGATTTTTTGTCTGTTTGTTTATCCGCTAATGTGAGAAAAGGCTTAACTGATTTCTGTGTTGTCTTTATTAGTGTGGTAAGCTTCTCTTATTGTCTTTGTTTTATTCTAATACATTTCCAAATAAAAATTACTAATGCAAAGTCGTAGGTTCAGTTAGTACTAAATATATTTCCTTCCACATATAAGCAGTTACATCAGTGATATAGTAATAGTCCATTATTATTTCTTAGAAAACTTTATCATAATATGGTTTGAAGAAAAATATTCCTGACGTCTTTTGTAGCCCATTTCAGGCTTTCTGCGTGATAATATCTACATAGTAAATGGTTAAGAGGTAATAAACTATTTAAAATTGCATTACATCTAGAATGACGTAGTCATAGTTGGAAAGAAGCTATTATAAGCACATAATACCATAAGAGCCACTCTCGTCGGTAGAGATCATGTCATTTTCCAGGGAAAAGTTAGAATAGTGTGATATCAAAAAAGAAGAAATTTATTCATATCAGCTAATAATTTTTGCCACTTAAGCATTTTAAAAAATAATATTACCACCCCTTTACTCCATTTCAACCAGCTAAATCTGTTGAGATGAACTGACAAGAAAGTCGTCTGGTCCATTTTTGTATTGTTATTTTAAACTTATTAAAATATAGCTCTTGGTAGTAAGGCACTATTTTTAAAGTCAAATTTATTGTAGCCTAGCCAAACGTAACTATAAAATACTTAAATGTTTATAATATTATAAGAAAAGAATATACCGTTACGACTGATATCTCGGATGGGGTAGTTAGAGCCATTGTTAATTGTAACGTGTTAAACGCAACATTTTGATGATTTAGCATCATAGATAAGTATCTATCCAGCTAAGTAGCTGGGTTAGCTGGGCGTACCTACTTTATGTATTTATATCCAACAAAGCAGTGTCCACAGAGACAACGAGCTCACTGCCCTCACTCGAATTAATGTTTGGTTTTGTTATCTATCTTTTATTCACCGACTTAAAAAATTTAATTTTAAAATAAATTTGAATTATTGTAAATACGTGTAAGCTCATTTGTAAACAATAAGAGCTTAGTTTCTTGTTAAGTTTTCTCAGCTCGAAAGCACTCCAAACTGAAATAGTTTTGATAATTTAAAAGAGACTTTATTAGACCTACGTAAATAAAAAGATAATTGTTTTGATTTGATGAGTTTGCCAAGAATATAAATATACACACCTGACTTTTAGAATTGAACTCACGACCTTTTAAGTGTCAGTCGGGGTAGTAAACCAATAAACCACAAGGCCATTACTCCCTCTGTCACTCTTGTACTCTAATTAATTATAGAAATAATAATCACAGCAATACATTCAGACTATATTTTTTCCTGTTTTCCATATTAGATTCAAGAAATAGAAAAAAAGACAATATTTCTCTTAGTTAAAAGATTTCGCAATCTACGTAGAAGATTTTGTAAACAACCTATTAAGCATTATTTATTATGTTAACGTACCCGCCTGAACGTGTTTATCGGGTTTATATTACCCCTGTAGACATTTTCGTGGATCCCATAACCCCGGATGCACCGGAAGCACTAATCGATGCGACCTCGGCTAACATAATAAAGTGAAGTACAAAACTTGGGCTCAAATAGGCTCTATTTTCAAACATAAAAGGTTTTCTCTACAAAGGCCACCTCGGCGGTTAGCGGTTTAGTACACCGCCTTGTGCACGGATGTGAGCTGCCCTAGGTAACTTATTTATTGAGTAATTTTTATATTAAATATTATAGCTTTGTAGTTTATATATGTATATATAATAAGGTAAATGATGCCAAGGCAATGAATCCTAAGGAAGTGAATTCGAATGTTACCTATAAACAAAAAAATTGTGTGTAAATTAATATTTTTGACTGACTATCCGGCGATGGAAAGATATAGATAGATAAAGATCATCCGAAAGACGGCAACAGTTTCTCCCCTTACCATGTTCATTTCAAAAAATATACTCAGCGAAATGTCGGTTAACAAGTAACAATATTTCTAACTACCTATATATCTATGTATCTAGGATAACAGTCGTTACCGTATACATATTTTTAACAATTCATATGCGCTAATACTCTGATGACGTATAGAGTAAACAATTAAAATGTAATCGAGTTTTCAACCTAGGCTCACGTGGCGATTTACCATAAACTACAATCATTTTCCAAGAGCATCACGTGGATGTAGACCTATCAGAGTACATTACTATGAGGTCAATAAAGCCCATATTTCAATAATCCCCACCCTCCAGTTTTATATGAGGGTTGTTATAAGAAGCTTTATGTAAATCTTGTATCCATTTGTTTGAAATTCAAATATTGAAGTTATTAGACGATATGATGTATATGGAATGGGAAAAGGTTCTTAAGTTATTCCGAAACATATTCTTTCAGATTTTAATCTTCTTTAGTTAAATGTACAGATTATTTATTATTATTTTTGGTTGCTTAAAAATATGTACTAAAGTTCATGTAAAGATAATTCGTTATTGGAAAACTATATAAAACTAAACGACTTATGATAAATAAATTACCACATACAGTAGTTATAATATAGTTTCTAGCTCATAATTCCCCAGAATGGAATTTAATTTTATTAGTACAACGTATATCATTATCATATATTAATGTAAATAAATGAATCAATATTATTTATATACTGGTTTATTACTGATATATAGGAAATATGTTGAATTATTTAAAATTATTGTAACTACAAAAATATTCTGACGTTTATTTTACTCAGCGGTTAATGAGAGTACAGTTTCTAATTAGGGTGTTTAAGTCATTTCGTTAGTTCTGTTCGATTTTGTATGTAAAGGATATTAAAAAGATAATATGACACTATTCACCACAGCCATTAAACAACAAAGAGTGGTTCAAATAGGCCGGTATAGCAGTAGTAAAAGAGTAAAAGCACCCACATTAACACAGTTCAAAAGCACTCATAAGAAACTCGTTAGAAAATTGACATTTAAAAATGCATCGTTATACCTACTTTGCTGTTGTTTTATCTATTAAATTGTATCCTTTAATGTAACATAATTCTTTCAAATATTTGGAACTACCAAATAAGTAAAGGCAAGTGTAGTTACTTTGGGTACTAACCAACTGACAGAAATTATCTTTTGTTCTCTAAAAAACTTACATCAATACAGACAATCCTCCTCATAAGTATCCGTTTTTGTGCAAGAATGAAAAAAGTATTTATCAAAATGTAAAGTGTTTTTTAATGCGTGACGTTTAGAATTATGCATCCGCTTGTGCTAACGGTACCAGCTGGCGTGGCACCAGTGCAGTGTGATAAGATGAGCTGGAAGTCTGGTCAGTTAGCTCGTCGTGGTGAATTCAACAAGTTCGATTGTTTCCTGTAGTACCGACTGGACATCGATCTGACATAATACATTACTAGTAATGGGGCCAAAATTTCAAGTTATTATTAACAGTCCTCTCCACTCTGTAAAGCATGTTAAACCAATACATTACCATGATCATCAAAGTACATATATAATGATGAACCAGTTACATAAACGTTAATTATAAAGTACGGTTTCATATTACACACATATATATATATGAACCATAATACAACCCACTCAATATAACGACTCATTAACATGCGACGAACGTTGATCTATTCACCCTCTAAGGAATTGAGTCACTCCAGTATAATTTACACGTAAATTAATTTCCAACTATATAAATACAATACTAGCTGAGCTCGGGACTTTCTATCCGTACAACGTTTTTGTTTGTCTTTAAATCTGATTGGAATAGAACAAACACAAAATTTTGAGTGAAGCTTGGGACTAGATGGTGTTAAAGAGTTTATTTTTGTAAAATATATCTTCTAAGTACAGACAGTGAACAGTTACGTTTTTAGTGCATAAATACATATGTCTAGATGTTAATCTATTTGTAATTTTATCAAACTAGTTAATAACAATAGATTTCAAAATACGGTATCTATCATTTATCAATGTTCGACTGAAATCTCTTCTATATGTAATAGAAATTGTATATACAAGTTGGAGACTTACCTTTTTATTATACTAAAAAGTCGTATATATAAACACGTGATTTCATAAGTATGAATATTCATATTCTACTTTGGATTGATATGCATACCATATATTTATAAACAATAATATATTATATACCCTATTTACACTGTATCTACAAAAAAACTTTAATAACTTACGAATTTTTAAAACAATGGCGCCATTTTTTTTATAACAAGTAAAATTCCCTCTTGACATTCTTGTACTCTGAGGAGCAAATACACGTTCAAATATACTACTACCGACAATGTATAGTAGTAGAATCAATAGCAATAGCAGGAATTTAATCTTGTTCACTACTCTGAGCTGAACATTAAACAACTACGTTTGTGTACCTATAATACAGTTATATATACTTGTCCTTTTGTAGGTTGGAAATAATAGAAATCGTCTAGTTTCTATTATTTCCAAACTACAAATGATCAGCAGCAATACTTTCTATGTACATTTGGAATTAAATATATTTTCTATTATATTTATAGTTTGTACATACTTGGAAAGTATCTTATCACTTACAAAAAATATTTAACGATTTGAAAGATACATTATTTCTGGTGGATGGAGATTATAGAATATACATATATTATATTTATTATTCCAAACAGACAAAGTTGGTGTGGTTAACTAGTTATGAAAAGGAAAGAGAATTGTTTCTAATAAGAACTAGTGTCCATTGCCAGTAATATATGATATCTGATCTGACTTCATGCTCATCCAGGATCATTACATCCTCCATTAATTCCTCGTTATAATGTGACCCCAGGCGGGTGCACTATTTTATATTCATGTATACAAAAAATCTGCAACGAACAATATAAGTATTATTATTAATAATTAGCAATTTGCAATATAAATAATTAATTTAATTACAATAGTATCTAAACAATCGTTTTGTTTCAGAATGCACAAACTATTTGGCGCAGCCACTGATGGAAAACGGAAAGCCCTCTGATCCGGCGTATGATGTAAATGTAGCTAGTAAGTATTTGTAGAGCTAATAGGGTGAAACTTATTTATATAAGCAATCTCACTGTTAATTACTCAACGTAACCCAGAACCTAGCCTAGATTGAGTGCATTAGACTTGTATATAAACTTACAGTATCAAGTTTGTGCAACTACTTGACCATATTTCTCTGTAGAGATATTCTAAAATCTTACCATAGGAAGACTTTGTACAAAGTCGTCAACGTGAGTAATTCTGTAATTTCATGACAAAGCAGCCACGGCTCACTTCCTTTGTGAGCTCTGTTTCTATATGACGGTGAGTTATGGCAGGGAAATTACATGGACAAGGGGTATCTTGGTCTCCAACATTTCAAAACATGAGGTATATAGGAGAGTTACGATAACATGAAACGCTTGGCGGGTTACCAGGTTATTAGCCATGTTATTGTACTTGTGATGACAGGATCGGTGGTGAGAGTAAACACACAGTAGGGTTGGAACTTGTGTAGTTTGGTTCTTGCATATTCATATCCTAACATATACTAGTGTATGTATATATACTAAACGCTACGTGAACTACGTCACGTTAAATAAAGTGACTGATATAATAGTTAATATACTCGTAATATAATAATTTTTCGTTTCATACAGATTACGTGCGAACGATGATTTCATTCGGCATCATCAGCTTATTCGTAATGGCTATGGGATGCGGGTTTTCCGTATATACGTTCCAAAATCCCCGATATATGTTCAAGAGGCTTGCAGCTGGCATACATTTTATAAGCAGTGAGTAATATTTACCCCGCATAATCTACAATTTCTTTATATAACTATATTTTATCAATAATTTTTTTTTTTAATTTTAATCAGACTAATTATAATAGTTCTGAACTGATTTTTGTATATAATAATATCCTATCCAATTAATCCTGTATACTCTATATTTTACAAAATATATAAGTTTATTCTTGTATTGATTGCATGTTAATTTTATCACTATTCAAATGATTTTTTGTATATCCTAGCATTTTTAAGGTTTTATAAATATGAAACAAAATCAAATTACTTTTAAAATATATGTGGATGACATCAGAATGTTTGTGGAGTGCTTTAAACCGCAACTAATTAGGAACATCGCAACCAATTAATTTTACTGTCACTAATTAGCAGTTACCGAAATTAAATTGACAGCGTTTGTGAGGGCTAGTTTATTAGATAAGATATATTCTGTCATCCAAACATATATTGTAACTTTTGAAAATAAATAGTGTAGTTTGTAATTATAAAACTATAATTACAAAAAATCAACACCTTTCATTAAAATACCAATATACATATATATTTATTAATATTGGCGTCTTGATCCAGTTATAAAATATACATAATTAATTATATAGTTTGTTAATATCATTTATTTATTTTACACGTATGATTTCAGAATAGACGTGTATGCTTTTTATTGGTAGTAATATTACATAATTTATTAAGAACTGCAGCCTGTAGATATTTAGAAAATCTAAATGTAGTCTGCTAAAGATCTAACAGAGTTAGTTTTATAAGTTATTTAAAACTGTATGCATTGTCTGGCCTTCATCGGATAGACGAAAAATAAATATTCTTGTTTCATGTTATTCAACAGAAGCACTACATAATTTATATAGCTAGTGAATTAATCATGCCAGTATTTATATTTTTCAGTCTATTATGATAGAATACATTAAATTGAATAATTGCAAAAGTATACATGGTCGTCTCAATAATGTTGAATACTGCCAAAAAATTTCGTCAATAAGATTTTTACATATTTAAGTATACTCGCATAAAGTGTGTTTATTTATGCATTCTAAAGCAGTGTTTTTTTTAATAGTCATATAGTTTAAGTATTATAAATGACAACATACAGTTTCTCATCCATTTTTTGGTCCACATGATTATACCTGAGATTAGTTTACTTTAGTTTGCAACCATCGCTTATTTGTAAATTAACAAGTATCTTATTTAAAATTAGTAAAAATCATATGTATGTTGTAAGTTAATTGAGATGTCTCACAAATCAACTAAAAGTCAATGTATGTACAACAAGAAATCGATTTTTATTTAACATTTATAATATAGTTTAAATTAAGTTAATAATTAATTTTTGATGATATTTGAAATACCTAGTTGTATTATTTTAATTAATAATTGAAGTACTTCTATGTAACATTCATATTGTATTTTAGCATCGTGTACATTCGTGGTGGTACAAGTAATGATGTCCACAGTAGACCATTTGAAGAAGAATGTTAAGTTTGTGTATCCAGAGCGTGCCTATCATTAGTAAGTAATATTTCATTTACCTAGTCAAAGATTCAGTAGAAGGATATTTTATTTTCCGACATCAAATCTGGCTTTTATTTGTAGAATGTATGTAGAATCTAAATAAGATTGAAATAAATAAAATATATTTTAAGCTATTTTGAATAGTCATTTTTTGATCCCGCTGCCACATTTAATGCAATGACTTTAATTGAGTATAATAATGTATATTTAATTTTAATTTAATAATCACTGATGCCTAAAATCTCTCATAATACTCGTCAGAACTTAAATCAATTAACTGTTGACTAGTTTCTAATCAATGTGATATTTCACAGCTACCACATCAGTTTCTTCCTGGCATGGTTTGTAGTGTTGATCAATCTGTTCGCGGCAGCATCTTTTCTGTGGTACTCACGAAAAAGGAAAGGGGATAAAGCAGCGACTGATGAGCTAGCAATGGCCGACGAACCAACCATCATTGGCCGATGACGGCCTAAGCCAATCACCTCCAAACAATTTATGTTGCGGAGGATTTTCCTCAAGTCTTTACTGAACAGTGCTCAAATGACCAATAGCTATAACAACGTTTGCGTCTTCCATATATTGTATGCAACAGGTATTTATTGGAGTTTAGACAGCCTTTGGGACTAGATCAGTGGCTTCTGACTGATTCAAGTAGACCACTGATGTATTGAAAAGCAACACTTGGGTATTTCACTTATAATATTCATTTAAAACTTATTAGTAAGTTCAATATACCTATATCAAATTTAACTGTTAAAGTATTTATTGTCAAATTAGTGTTATATTATTCACGAAATGGATATTCTATTTAATTATTCTGGTTATACATGTAGCATGCTTTGCTTCTAGTAGAATTATGTGCAAAGGAATGTTAAAAGTAACCCATTTTCTCCATCTTGATCATCATCAAATATTACTAGTATTATTCCAACACAGCAAATGTTACTTTTAAGACATCAGTGGGTTGTAATCATAATTAAACAAAATGGTAACACGCCTTGTTAATCTTATAAGCGACAGAAAATATCTTTATTGCGACATCTTTTATTCTCGCTTTGAATGTTATGCGGAAAGTATTTAAACTTTATAATCTATGAATTAGCTTTGACCACGGTAAAAATACTAAAGCAGTAGTTCTAGATAACTGAGTAAATATGGACCAAGTTTTGCTATTGTAAGTGTATTTGAGATGCTTCATTATTCTGTCAGGTTTGCACTGCTTTACAATGATGTACAACTACATGTATTCAGAGGTATAATTAATTAATGTTTTAAATACTTTATACATTCTTTACTATTTAAAATATTCAAATAGTTACATTGATTAGATACTTATAAAATTAATGTACCTACTATTGTTAATTTTATTGTGAGCAGCTTATTCCGAATATACCCGAACTACTGTTTCAAAAATTTCTACTATATCTCAGCGTTATGGGATTAACGATGTCTGTAATTCTTTTAGTGTAATAGAAACTTCAAACAAGTCTGCTACTGTTTGTGTTGTAACATGTAATCATGTCATCATGACACGTGCCAGTTCTAGTCATACATTTAAATGATTTATATTAATATTTAAGCTCGCGTTAGTTTCGTAATTGGTGGAAAATTACCTTTAAACTATTCCGCCAATCACATGTCACTGTTAAGATCTAAAGACTATTTGCTTTAAGTACTGTTCTTAGGTTGATATATAAACCATAGTGATATCACTAATTATGCTGTTTAAATTGTCAGTATTTATAATAAACTGAGAGTATTTATTAACTTTTTAATGATAAGTGATAAGTGAACTGTTTTATGGAAACATTATTATCCTATCGACTTACTTAATTATTCAGTATATTTACGAATTTTCAAACTTGTTTTATTACAACTGATTAAGATCTCCAGAGCTTGAGCATCGTCCGATCAGATCTATTCTCATAAGTATTTTAAATTTCAAAGAAAGAATAGAATCAATTTGTTAACTTTTTAAAGTTATATACTATCCATATCTAGGTTGTCACCATTAGTAAGTATTCTAAAATATTTTTCCTGTTTATCTACTCTTATCATTAATTTTATTAAAGACTTTATAATGTTACGTTATAGAAATTTTATTTATTAATAATTTAAGTTAATTAGACAAATGAATTTTACGTGCTAGCATCAGCATACTGTCTAGGATGAACAGAAATATATATTTTACTTATAATTCTAAATTCATACCGATTATTGTTTGTTCAAATAAAAAATCAAGTACGAATGAATACGAATCTCTCAGCTTATATTGTTTCTTCTGTCAGAAAGACAGTGTAAGACAAAGACGCAAATAGTCAGTACATAACATAAATGTGATAGAAATTGACACCAATTTATTATATTTAATAATTTACCTTTTATATATATAAATACAATTAACAGCTTTACTATGAGTACCAATTATTATTATTGATATTAGTCAGAATAAATATATGAAACCAAATCTAAATCAACAATAATTTAAGCAGCCAAAATCTAAAATTGAAATTGTAAAATGTGTCAGTTACAACCATCTAATGCAGTTATACTTTGAAACCTTTGAGTAACTGTGAAAAAAGTGTAATTACGTATAATATTAAATAATAACGGGATTTTTTACAGTTTAATATTAAACTTTATTTTACATTAAATAATGGACATGATAAGATTAATGCATTTCTTAATACTACAATAAATAATAAATTGAGAATAAATTGAAAAATAAGTATTTTATAAATTATTATTTACAGAAAGAAAATAAGTACATAGAGAAGCTCCTCCAGAAAGTGAGAATAACAGCGATTGAATTTTGTCATATTTAAATTAAATGTTTTACCAATAAATCAGTACTATAAATTACTTGAAGTACATTTATTTTGTTAATTTAATTTCGTTTTATCAAAGTCCATTAAGAACAAAATCAGTTCACTTTGCAACAATTCGCTTCACATTTTTTAATATTTAGTTGAAATGTTATAAAATACTTTATGGTACCTCAGGCCAATAATTTATGAAATATATCAACATAAAAATGCATTTAATATTTCCTATTGCATTTTAGAAGACCTCTAAAAGGATTACATGTTAGTTTCCCATTTTACTGAATTCGCTACTCAAAAATATAACTGTTGTAGATTGAATGTGAATACTTATTAGATACCAGAGGTTTAATTACATGACACGGTTACTAACAATTCTCATATTAATAATATTAAAGTCTACTATCTTAGTGTCACGATTACCTTTAAATTATAACTATAACTCTCAAATATTTTATCCAAGATATCAAACCTATTGATTGCAATCAAATTGAATTGAGAATTGTTAGAAACTCTTTTAGATAATTAAGCAGCGTTTACTTATTAAATATAATAAGTGGAAAGTGGAAACATTCAAGATTTGCTAACCATTTTGTCTCGTGAAGCTTTTCAACAATAACAGACTCATATATAGAGTTATGTTTATCTAAATTCCAATATTAAATTTGCATAATCGTGTGTATTGATATTGATGTTATGTACGTTCTTCCTATTTATTATTGTTTTTTTAATGAATAAATTTCTTAAAATTATGAATATGCATTATTTATTTCATCATTCCCTAATTTTATTTTATATGTTCCTTTTTAGTATTTCGGCACATGAATATCTTCAAATATCTTGGAAGCTAGTACTAATCACTAACTTTTTCACGTAAAAATAATCATTATGATGACAGCATTATCTGATATCTCCCAGTTTAAATATTCACTACCTGACTTACATAATAAATTTCCTTTAAAATTATACTGACTTTGCGAATGCCTTTTAAGAATAATTTCTTTTCGTACCATTGTTAAAAATATTATCTTATAGGCAATATTTATAAAGTTAATTAAGTCACATCCTATAGTGATTTATTTATAATATTTACTACTTATATTATTAACAATACTATCTACATTATAATAAAGTCAAACAAATTATTGAAAAAATAATGTAACATTCCAACGTCATCAACGAATAGCAACAATGTAAAGAAAATACATACACCTGCTGCAAACCGCAACAAATCAATCAAACTTTCATCTCGATTGCGGTAATGAAAGTCGGAATTGTGGCAGAGTTGCAGATTTAACATTTGAGAACATAAAAAACAAATTCACTTTTTGACGGCGGTTATTTCTGTATACTCATTGTCGAATAGCTGGCAAACGCCCAGAGTCAAGCGGTGACACTGCCAACGTCAACAAAGGTTAGTGTCCTAAAAAAACGGCGAAGTAAAAAGCCGGGGCGCAAATGAATCAATCTGAAGGGTCTATTATTCTAGATAAAGATGTCCTTAGAGATTTGAACGGCAGGTCTTTCGTCATTTGTAATGAATCATGAAGAATCAAGATAAAGTTGAAATGTAATATTATCTTAGCTCTAATATTATCTTCGTTTCTACGATGTTTGTTCCCTATTCTTCACTAATTTTTCTTATTTCAGACGACACAACTTGTTGACTAGTTAGTAGTTTGATAAATACTTTAATAATAGTATAGTAATCCTCTGTTAACATATAAAATACATGTTTCGTCTTGACTTAACATCAATATTTCAACGATTGATTAATGTAAAATATAGCAATAGTATTTTTAACAAATATAAAGAAAATCTATTCATTTACTTATCTTTGCAAATCCCATGCATGCTCTTTATGTATACACTAGTATTATAAATATGAAAGTATGTCTGTTTGTTCTCTTTCACAACTAAGCTGATAAAATCTCAAGCAAATTTGGCAAAAAGATATATCGTATCACGAGGTGGAATATTATACAGATATCTATATCTGAAAAAAAACCAAATGATCACCTTGTGAACAATAAACACCAATTTCTGAAAGTCTTTCTAATATCAAGAAATTTTCGAAAATTTTTTACAGAAAGTAATCGCTGGGTAAACATTGATGAAGCTAAAGAGATAGAGTCCGTTTGATTGTATCAGTACGTGTAGATACTATTACTCAGATATTACGTAATACTTTCTCAATAATGACTACAAAGAAGTAAATAGACCATTATACATATAAATCCGTGTGCCCAATTGAGGTTTTCTACAGTAGTCAAGTGTCTTTCATATTTAAATAAGTTTTATTTATTTCAGCAATATTACAAGAAATCCAAATCGAGTCAATACAGTAAACATGATAGGTATAATTCAGGAATAGACAACGCATATAATGGTACACAATTCAGAAAAATAGAGATATTATTGACTTACTGTCATTTTCAGCATACTATAATACGAATTTCTCAATTCTATGCATACTTATTGCTTATCTCAACTAATACTATTCATAAAAAAGTGTGTGTACGTTTGGTACCATTTTATTACTAAACAGCTAAAAAAGAAATGTTATTTAAAGATAAATCGCCTGAGGCTATATTTTATCTAAATAACCAAACAAATTTTGCGTACATTTTGGTGACCCGCGACCTCTGGCCTCAGGGTTTTGACGAGGAGATATGGCTGCATTCCTACCGACTAAAACCCCCACATTATTTCATCTCTTCGCCATAGTGCAGAAGGCATGTAATCGTCTAATTATTACATCGCAATGAGGTAACCCATACCTATCAATATTACATAGTATCTGTGGTAAACGGTGAATTTTATTGATTAATTATGCAATTGACATGCGGCATTCTCGTGTTAGTTTCACAGAATATTAGTAATAATAGAGATTTCAACCTGCTAAGAAAAAATTTGTTTACTAAATTATCATATCTCAAAAATGATGTTATGTTTCATGAAGCCACTACTTATTTATTAGAGATATATAGAGATATACGACAAAACGATTACAACTAAATCTATTTTTTTATACCGCAATGATGGCAATCAAACAATATATACCTTCTGTAAATTAAAGAATATTAAACTCAAAGATGTTATGCTGCAACTAATCCATATGTGTATACATATATAATTTTATTATGTCATGAAACTATGCAGCGAAAATATTAAACTTGCCTATTATGTCATTAAATAAGCTCTTTAGTACTCTCAGTCCTTAAAAAATATCGTTCAATACTTGTTTATTAGTAACCAAGGCGACCGTTCCGCGTTTTCGCATGTTGTGGTGAACAGATAATGGAATAAAATAATTCCAGTTGTCAGATCAATAAAAGTCGGTGATTCAAGGAGATCACGCGATATGGCCGAGTCTAAGGTATGCCTAATGTAATCCACCCTACAATTTAATTAATGATCCTTACGTGACATGCGAACAATGTCAGAGTTGGCTGTCACAGCACGATATCCTTGGGGGATTTCTGTGCTATTATTTTATGTCTCGGGGGCTGTTAAACCACGTAATGCTTTTAGATTTGTACCGTTTATAGTTTTACTTTCTTTATTCCCACAGACGTTTAGTCCATTCATGTTATCTTGCCTCTTAATATCTACTGCCATCAGTTCTAGTAGTTCGATCGGCATAATGAACTCATAATAATATAATATACATATATATATATATATATATATACATATATATTATACAATAATATACACATATATATTATAATGAGTTCATTATATAATATAATATACTAGAGCTACACACACTTACGCAGTGAATTGATAATATTCTCTAAACCCTGAATTATATGTCTAGTTTGATACATTCATGAAATCCATATATCTGAAAGTAATCCCCTTACATAAAGAATGAGACAGCTAGAAGTATTTTTATCGATTCAACAATTTAGGTGCCCGATCACATAATCGTCATCGAGAAATAAATGACCAAACCCTGTGCTTCCTGGCCTTTACATTAACATTAATATTTTAATTTAAAAGATTTCATATAATTAATTTGTTATTGTAGAAAAGTGGTAAAAAGGCTCAAAAATCAAGTACTGAAAGCAAGGTTGATACTGGTGCTAACTCGAGTAGTTCTAGTGGTGAGTACTAATAAAATATAATATCCGTACTAATATAGCAAATATGAAAATATATATCTCTATCTATATGACTGTCTGATATCTTTATGTAAACGGCTGCAAGGTTCCTGATAAAATTTGAAGTGAAGATAAATTTTAAGGTTAAGATCTGAGGATATGGAGTATTGTATCTAAAAATATAGCATTTGAAGTAGACGGAGTAAACTAGTTTTCTGTTACAGAAATTACAAAGCTTTTCATGTAAAACTTAGCGTCTTACAATGAGTACTTTGTAATGTTCTCTACTCTCGCTCTATTCATTTATGCTTTATTTCCCTAGTTACCTCTTATCCTGTTATATTATGATAAGTCTGTAACAGGCGCCATTGGGACGTCTATTTTTAGAATTTACCCTGCATTCTGTACATAATTAAAATTAATTAAGGATGCTACTTTCCCATTACAGTGAATTAAGTTGAATATATAATTATGGTTTTAGAAACTTTCGTGTACAATAATGTTTATTATAAATGCTAATTTAAAGATCTAAACCATTTAGAATAACATTTTAGGTCTTTATATTAGCATTCAAAATTGAGTATTACTATCAGAAATAATACGCATATAATGGACGGTCTCTATAGTCTAGTAGCCTTATAGTCGCAGGTTCGAATCCTCACATTTGTACAAATATTTGTATTCATAAGTATGATTGTTTGTATTAGTCTGTGGGTTATCTATGTCTATTATAAATATATTTCCAAATATAGGTATAAGTACCTCTATCAGTTATTTAATACCTACAACACAACCTGTGTACTGGATGATGCTGCGTGAATTTTCCAGGGTTATTATTATTATTATTATCATTATCATCTCTAATATAATAACAGATAGTGACCAGGAAGACAAAGATGAAAGTGCAGGGCAGATAGGCCGAGGGCTTGGTACTGCAGCTGCAATAAATCGAGAAGAATATCTACAAGCCTATAGAAACCTCACGTTTGACAGAAATCAATTACAAATGAAAAACAATATACTACATCGGAGATTAGCAGAATATTACAAGTATTAATGATTTGTTTATATTATTTCTTTAAGAACAGTAATGTCTATCTATTTATATAAAAGACGTGAGTTGTTTAAAGAAATCTACATTTTTAGAATATTAGATTGATATAAAATAATTTCGATTTCTTCAGCTATCAAGTCTTTATTATATCAATAACAACTCATTAAGGGCGCATAGTGAGTCCCAAAACTTTCCTTATAAGAGGAGGATATTAACTCACTAACATCATATTGTTATTCCTCTAGTATTAATAAAATCCTAACCTCATATTGCTATAAGTTATATATTTTATTTTGAAAATAAGTTCTCTTTTGTACACTCCGGTTTATTTCCAAATTGTGATGTTAATATTGTATACGATATTCTGGAAATGTATACGTATTATTATTGTCACCACCTGAATGTGTTTTTATAGTTAATTAAGCTAAATTGGTTGTTTAAACAAACAATTCTATTATACATAATTTATATACAATATAAATTTTTACGAGATTAACAAATAACATTATTTATTAGAAAAAGAAAACTGGAGCATGTTTTGAAGCCATTAGAAGGTGCAGTCGATTTAGAAGACAAATATCAACAAAAATTGTTCTCCTACGAAGAACTAAAAGCAAAAGAAGAAAGGGAAATTGCCGATGTGAGATATCATAATAGTTTATATCTATTTATTATTATGATCACTATTGCCACAATAATTGATTACTTATAACAATTGTTTCTGTTATCGAAGACTCACCAAAAATATATAGGTCGGATTCGAACTCGGTCTATAAGATCTCTAGGCCACGATTATCTTAATACTCTGAATTTAATTATATGCTCTGAAAAACAAATTACCATGGACTCCTCGCTGATAACAGTTAATATACTTCCCATGATCTAAGCCTGAAATAGAGATATATATCAAGCATAAAGTAAATTGGAAATACGTATATTCACTAGCAATCTGTTAAAAGATCTAAGTACATGCTACACGATTTAGCACTCAATCGGTCAATTCAATATGTCAAGCTCTGATTGGTACATAAACAGCTGATTTAGTATCTCAATTGGACATAGAAAAATACGTATTTAAGTTGTGAGTAACAGAATAGAATAATAATGATATCTCGGTATAATTCATACAGCGCCATCTAGTTGCAACCTCTACTTAACTGGTAGTATGGGTACTAGACAATAGAAATAACTCTATATTTTTTCCTAAAATACACACATAATATGTATATAGTGTTAACGCCTCACCGTAATACAATATAAATAATAACTGGTTCCTGATGCGGTGAGGCGGGGAGCGGGGCGCGCGTCGTCTAGTTTTTATGTTACGTGCATATTGCGATCTCTGTAAAATTGCATCCATCATTTCATTCCATTACACACCTTCCTACAAAGCGCTGTATTTTTATTTCGCATCGATATCAACTTTAACATTTGGTGACCCCGACGTGATATTCTGGACTCGGTGCAGGCTGACGAAGGTTTTAATATTCAATCAAGCATCTAAATAAACAATTACGACGCGACGAGCTGACGGAGATTTGAAAAATAAGAAATTGCAATAATCAACTACGCAATTACCGGCCTATTGTGTGCATTGAACGAAATTTGTGGTTATCGACGCCATCAAAAGGGAAGTTATGTCCAGTTTGAGTATTTATAATTACATAATTAGTGTTTTAAATTTCAGTACAAGTTAATATTGCCTCAATAGGTACGTACTTAGTTATTTGTATTTAATATCACTACAGTGTAAAACCGAACGCGCTTGCACCATTTTGTTATTATTAACACCCACATATTTTAGCATTAAAAACTACATTTTTTTAGTTTTGTGACTATTTAAGATAAAATTAAGTAACAATCGTGTTATTTGGGTAGAATTGAATATATTTCTAAAATACATATTTATATTTTCAAAAGTTACAATTAAAATTCATTAAAATTATAGTATATCATTACAAAATTGCGAAATATAACTAAAATAGGATATTGCTACGTAATAAGCAATAGGTATATTAGTAAAATAAATAACGATAATCATTTATTGTGTAAATACAATACATAAATATTAATCTACCTTAAAATCAAGCAAATACCTACTCATACAGGCCTTACAATATACAAGATTTGTGTGTAATTGGTTTATTACCTATATATATAGTGTAAATTTTTACTAAAATTAATTTACAATAAATACAAAACATTTCAATACAATTATATAAGCTAGTACTATGGTAAATTCCAGGTTTTTGTAATCGGCGACAATCATTGTATGGGCGCAGTAAGACGAACTACCTGATATTGTTGACAAATTCCCTGCGCCACCTGCCGCGCTGTTGGTTGAGTGCTGACGCGGCCGTTTGACTTCGCTTGCATCATATCTGAGTATTTGCCAGTCCACTCATACTTAGTGACTTACGGTTTGAAATTTACATCTATTTTCTTTTTAATTTAATTTATTATTATTTGGTTTTTTTTTCATTTTGTTTGTGTTTTGCTAACTCTCCAATCGCCCATTTTTTTTTGCAAATCTGCTAAATTTACAATTTATAATGGCAGACGGCAAGGAGTTAAAAGAATATACACAACTACGAAGTAATATAAAAGCTAGAATTACTATATTTCAAAAATATATAGACATTGTAAAACTTGTCGAACCAAAAACTTTAGCAAAGCTACAAATAAACGAGCTTCAGTTAAAATTATCTCGGTTACAGGAATTATTCTCTTCCTTTGACGACATACAAAATAAAATTGAGCTTCTCACGTCTGACAATATATCCCCACAATTAGAGGAACGCGACACTATCGAAAGCTCATTTTGTAAATCAATCGCGATAGCACAGGACATCTTGGAGTCAGCTTGTAAATCCGATAGACCTCCCTCTCAAGGCTCAGATAATTCTATAAAAACTAACAATGAGTACAGCATGTGTAATATTAGACTTCCGACCATCAAGCTACCCTCCTTTGACGGAAATAACCTGAAATGGCTAGAATACAGAGATACCTTCGAATCTCTCATTCACAACAACGATTCCATCCCGAAAATCAATAAATTTCATTACTTGCGTTCGTCACTAGAGGGTAGTGCAAGTATTGTTATTAAGTCCATCAATTTCACCTCTAGCAATTATGATTTAGCATGGAATATTCTTTGTGATAGATTCAATAATAAAATTATATTAATAAACAATCATATTAAATGTTTATTTAGTTTTGATGCATTAGGAAAAGAATCACACAAATCCCTACGTTATATGGTAGATTATTACACAAAAAACTTGAGATCCTTGGAGGAATTAAAAGAACCTGTTCAATTTTGGGATACTTTGGTTATTTATATTATGACTTCGAAGCTGGATCCAGCCACAGGTCGCAAATGGGAGGAGCATCGTAATTCATTGGATCTGTCACCTACGTTAGCTGATTTCTTTGAATTTTTACGTAGTCGAGCTAATATTTTAGAAACCATACAACACGGTCGTACTGATTCAATTAAACTTGAAAAACATAATACTTACAAAGAAAACAAACCTACAAGGTCCTTTGTTACGTCCTCAGTAGCTACAAATAAAAGAAATTGTGTTGTTTGCAATAGTAATCATTTATTATACGAGTGTGAACAGTTCAAAAATATGTCTATGGATAGCAAAACAACTACAATTAGTAAATACAAACTCTGTAAAAACTGTCTGCGTCCTGGCCATCACCATTCTCGTTGCCGCTTGAGTGCTTGCAAAATCTGTAACAGAAAACACAATTCATTATTACATCGCAATGAAAATACTAACAAAAATAACTTACCTGCGGAATCAACGACTAGTTCTTCCTTCTTGCCACGTGAGTCGCAAGTCTCTCTTTCTGCCTCTGTTTCAGGTCAGGTGTTATTATGCACAGCTGAAATAGAAGTAGTAGACACGATAAATAACAAAACTCACCTAGTGAAGGCTCTCCTCGACAGCGGTAGTCAGTCTTCCTTCGTATCTGAAAAAATAAAAAACAAAATTAATATTCTCTGTAGAAAAACTAATATACCGATTTTAGGCGTGAACAACTGCATAACTAACTCAGTTGAATGTTGTAACTTGCTTCTGAAATCTTGCGTAAATTCATTTCAAGTAAAAGTAGACTGTTTAGTAATCCCACATATTACAAATAAATTGCCTAGTGTATTAGTAGATGTTGCTAAACTAAATATGCCATCCAATATACAATTAGCTGACACAAAATTTTTCTGTCCATCTGAAATCGACCTCTTATTAGGAGCAGACATTTATTGGGACTTAATTATGCCAAATCAAATTAAGTTGGGTAAAAATAATCCTACTTTACAGGAGTCGAAATTTGGTTGGCTTGTTGCTGGCCCCACTGGTGGTAATCCATACTCTTCAACTCCAAAAGTTCATTGCCATTTTACAAAAGAAATAAAAGAATCTTTAGCTAAATTCTGGGAAGTAGAAGAATTACAATCTAATACAAAAATATTATCGAAGGAAGAAGAATATTGTGAAAACCACTTTATACAATATACTAAACGTTTGCCTTCAGGTAGGTTCTCGGTTACAATTCCTTTTCGCGAGCCACCCGAAAACGTTTTAGGTGAATCACACAGTATAGCTAGAAAACGCTTTTACAATTTAGAAAAAAGATTGGCAAGAAATGGTCACAAAATAGACTATTCCAACTTCATACAGGAATATGAGAGTTTGGGACACTTGTCACAGATAGAACGACCTAAGTTCGGATATTTTATTCCACATCACGCGGTTATACGTGAAAACAGTGAGACAACCCGACTTAGAGTAGTATTTAATGCATCGTTTAAAACAGATACAGGTAAATCGCTAAACGATTTAATGATGATAGGTCCAGTTGTGCAAGACGACTTACTGTCTATTTTATTGCGATTTAGATACAATAAATATGTCGTTACGGCAGATATTACAAAAATGTATCGTCAAATTGAAATTGACCATTCGCAGCGACATTTACAATTAATTTTGTGGAGAGATAATGATCGAATTCCTTTAAAAACTTTACAACTTAATACTGTAACATATGGAACAGCCGCTGCGTCATTTCTCAGTACCAGATGCTTACTTCAGCTAGCTGAAGAATGCACTGACCCAGTTGTTGCCGACGTTATAAAACATGATTTTTATGTCGACGATTTGATTACGGGAAGCTCATCAAAATCAATATTAGCTAAATCGGTGCAGGCAGTAGTGCAAAAATTAAATGAGGGCTGTTTCTCATTACACAAATTTCGGTCCAATGTCCCTGATTTATTAAAAGAAATTACTCCAATTGATCAAACACAGGATTTTTGTAAGGAAAGTTCCATACTAGGATTAAAATGGCAACCAAGTACCGACAAATTAAAATTTTATACACAGTTAAATATTGATACAAATGTAACTAAACGAACTATTTTATCTACATCATGTAAGGTTTTTGATCCCTTAGGTCTACTTTCTGCATGTACAATAATACCTAAAATACTTTTACAAAAGTTATGGCTTTCGAAATTGGAGTGGGATGAACCTGTTCCAGACGTAATAAAAGAAAAATGGTTAGAATTTTCTCACAATTTGTCAACATTTTATGATTTTGAAATACCAAGATACGTAATGTGCGAACAGCCCACAAACATTACACTTCATTGTTTTACTGACGCGTCACAAACATCATACGGTGCTTGCATATATTTAAAGTCACACAATAATACAACTGGCATTACTGATATCAAATTACTTTGCGCTAAGGCTAAAGTAGCTCCAATTAAACCCGAACTTACTATCCCTCGGCTTGAACTACTAGGAGCTCTTCTAGGCGCACGTTTATATTCTAAAGTTATAAGTTCTCTGAAAGCAAAAATATCTAAGTCATTTTTTTGGTGTGACTCCACTATTGTTTTGATTTGGCTAAAATCGCCACCTAAAACACTAAAAACATACGTCTGTAATCGTATCGAAGAGATAAGAAAACTTACTGATCAAAATGCATGGAGGCATGTACCTACCCATTTAAATCCCGCCGATTTAGCTTCTAGAGGAGTCTCGCCACAGCAGTTTATTACATCTTCGTTGTGGTGGGAGGGTCCTTCATTCTTGTATGAACCTGAAACAAATTGGCCAGTAGATAGTACAAATAATCTCACGTCGGTACCTGAAACAAAAAGAATTTTATTAGTACAAAATAAAGAAATTATCGAAAATATAATACCGTTTAATAAATTTTCAAAGTTATACAAATTACAGAGAGTTGTTGCATATATTCATAGATTTTTATACAATTGTAAAAATATTGAAAATAAGTTGACAGGGGTACTAACTAATAAAGAAGTATATGAATCTTTACTTACCATTGCCAAACACTCTCAAAAGGATTCCTTTTTTAATGAAATAAATATTCTTTCTAAAGACAAAACACTTTCAAAAACGTCCAACATTATTTCGTTAAATCCTTTTATGGATTCTTCCGGCATTTTACGTGTCGGTGGACGGATACAAAATGCGTTACAATGTACCTACGGAAAAAGACACCCCATATTAATTGACCCTCATCATCAATTTACAAAGTTACTTTTTGAAAGGGAACATCTTCGATTGCTTCATTGCGGTCCTCAACTTTTATTAAGCTCGATCCGCGAACAATTTTGGCCGTTAGGCGGACGAAAATTAGCCACAAAGACAGTAAATATACTATATATATAATACTTGTAAACGCTTCAAGGCACAATCCTTACAGCCTCTCATGGGAAGTTTACCAAGGTCACGAGTTACTCCAGCGCTCCCATTTGAAACCTGTGGTACAGATTTTGCAGGGCCATTTTATATATTGAACCGCAAGGGTAGAGGCGCAAAAACTACGAAGGGATACTTGTGTATATTTGTATGCTTCGCCACTAAAGCTTTGCATTTAGAAGTTGTTACCGACTTAAGCACTCAGGCATTTTTACTTTGTTTGCGGCGATTCATATCACGTCGCGGAAAACCACATACAATATACTGCGACAATGGTAAAAATTTTGTAGGAGCGAATGGAGAGTTAGTTAGACTTTTAGCAAGGGCAAATAATGATGTAAGCGAATTCTCATGTAAAGAAGGCATTAATTTCAAATTTTCACCGCCTTACTCGCCTAACTTTGGGGGTATATGGGAGTCCAGCGTAAAAATGGCAAAATTTCACCTAAAGCGTGTAATAGGCAATGCAAATTTAACCTTTGAGGAAATTACTACCGTTTTCGCACAAATTGAGGCAATATTAAATTCTCGTCCGTTGACTGCACTATCATCGGACCCATCAGATTTATCTCCTTCAACTCCTGGGCATTTTCTAATTGGTCGTCCGTTGACTTCATTACCTTCACCAGTTATAGAAAGGAACAATGTCACACGATACCAGCTTATTGAAAAATTGCGACAACAATGGTCCAAGGAATTCCTGTCTGAATTACAAGAACGAGTGAAATGGCGTACAAAATGTCAAGAAATAAAACCAGATGACTTGGTTATAATTAAAGATGAACAACTTCCACCTATGAAATGGCTGCTTGGTCGTGTTGTAAAACTCTATCCTGGATCAGATGGCATCACGAGAGTGATTGATGTAATCACAAAAAAGGGCATCCTGAGAAGAGCCGTTTCTAAAGTATGTTGCCTGGAAGAATCAAGATGCGACACTTGAGTCCTTGAAAGACCAGCTTTCAAGGGGGCCCAGTATGTTAACGCCTCACCGTAATACAATATAAATAATAACTGGTTCCTGATGCGGTGAGGCGGGGAGCGGGGCGCGCGTCGTCTAGTTTTTATGTTACGTGCATATTGCGATCTCTGTAAAATTGCATCCATCATTTCATTCCATTACACACCTTCCTACAAAGCGCTGTATTTTTATTTCGCATCGATATCAACTTTAACATATAGAAATAATTAGTTTTTTCACCCTTTCAATCTTAATGGCTTAGCGGGTTACGAACGCCAAAAGGCATTAAGGTAACCATTTGTACGTTATATATACAATAAGTTATATTATACAAGAAGACTGAAAAATATATCCAGAACGATACAAATAATAATACTCATGAATGCTAATGTTCGTACTGTATAGGAATTGAACCCGTGACCGTTATATTTGACCACATAAAATACAATAATAAAATAAAAATATATCCCACCATGTCTCTCTGTATGTTTGCGATAATTTCAAATAAATTTTCTTGTGTTTTTTTTTTCTCTTCACGATTCTGAAGAATGATTAGGTGCGTAATACATTAAGGACTTATGTAAATTAATTGATATACCAGTGTGAATCCACGGCGGGTAACTAGTATATATAAATGTGAAAACAATATGTATTTAATTAATTAAACTTCCAACAGCAATAGTCAAATAGCTATTTTATCCTATTTTGTAGTAAGTTTAAATGTCCTATGTCTATTTTTGGATGCGATAGTTGAATTACCTAAGTGATATTTGAGAATATTACTTGTCACAGATAAAATCTAAAGTGCATGCTGTGCAAATACAATATGAAGACAAATTGGAAAACACGGAAAAGAAATTCAATGGTCTACAACATCTAGAAAGGTCTACAGGTAGTGGGCTTATATACTCAAAGAAAGGAAAGCCAATAGCTGATAAGGTAAATATAAACGGTAATTTTAAAAAGGAATTTAAAAAAATACATTATTCTCGTAGGTTTCTCGATACCATAAACTGAATACCATTCATTGCACTACTCCAAGCCGAGTAATGCATGTAACTGTATTCACCAGTTTTGCTAAGAAGCAGTGTTTTAAAGCAATGATTTTTGAAAACCATTTCATTCAAGCTAGGCGGACACGTGATCTATTTTTTAGAAATTAAAACTTTATATTCAAAATTACACTTTGTTTCTTGGTGAAACTGGTAAGTTTTATTAGTAAAGTATTCTACCTAATTCTCGGTTTTACTTAATTATTATGATAAAATGACTGTTCATTTATAATATATGTATTTGATATTACTAGGCTCTGTTAGTAGTACCTAACAATAAATTAGACAGACGATATTTTCTATGAGGACCTTCTAAGTAAATATATATTCATTATGTTCTTTAGGTATATTTTATAGATTTCTATGTCTTATTTTCTTATAAATAATTATATTGAAATGAAACAAAATAATATTTTTTTTTGAAGAGACTAGACGGTATGTGACTGCAAACGTTTGTGGAAAATTATATTTTTAATTTCTATGCTAAAATATAAACAATAACACAGAACCGTCCCGATGATTGATGATACAATCCATTACAAAAATTGGAGTTAATTAACTCGGAAAAAGTACTTTACTTAAAATTAATTACGAATTTTATTCACAGCTAGTCACTGATAGATCTTAGGTAGTATAGCAATTATATAACAATTATTATGAAACATACTGATTATATTTCATTGAATTGACAAATAACCTGACAGCCCATCTGATTATAAGTACTATATGTATATGTACTTAAGTAAATTATTGTACATTACATATTACATATTTCTCTATATTATACATTTATATAAATACCTATTTATAGAATATTTGTAATATGTGCTAAAATTTTTGTTCAACTTACAATGTAGCGACTGTGATATTTTTAAATATTGGTATTAATAAAACAAAGTTTACTTAGATATAAACTTTTTGCTTAGACTGTGGAGCGTTTCTTGACCCTTCAGAGACGTAAAAGTGAACAATCTTCTGCTTTATGTCTCCGATATATCAGAGTAAGAAACGCTGTCGCTGAACTGGAAGCGATTGTGAGAAAACTGGAAATGCTTGGTCCGGGACTTTACGTTGCACAATACGAGCAGCTATCTATAGATCACCAGAATTTTATGACTAAAATTGAAGGTGAGTGTCCTTTAAATTTTAAAGAGCAAAACTACAATCACGCGTATTGTTTTGTACGTGTCTTATTTTGGGATAATAAGCAAAACTACCTGAAATCTTCAGAATGATTTTAAGATCAAGTGCATATGTATATACAAAATTATTCTGGAAGCATCTTAAACTTCACTTCACATTACTTTTATATATTTTTGCCACTTATCACTTTATATCCTTTTCATTTGTTTATAAGTAAATAGAGTTAATAATGTGAAAGACTTATTAGATAGACTTATTTGGAACCTTTTAAGTCAATATAATAGAAACACAGCTAATGCCTAAATATGAATAACATAATTTATCAAGAGCTACCTTCTTTACGTAGTATAAACCAATATCGCTATCACTATATGTACGCTTAGATCTTTTAAATTACAGATTAGCGGATTTTAATGCAGTTTTCAGTAATAGATAAGATTTTTTTCCATTGTATTCAATATTAAAAAAATCATTATATTACTTTCAGAGCGTGATGATGAATTGATAAGAAATCGTACTAAATGCACAGAGCATAATCAGATCTTAGCTCATATAAGAGAAAAAATGCATCACACCGATGAAGTAATTGATACAACCGAATGTGATCTGGGTGATGCAGAAATAGAGTTTCTACGCGCTAGAGAAGACCTCGGACAAGTAAAGGTACGTATATTATATATATATTTATAACAATAAAGAAGCGAGGCTCTTGGGAGTTACGCTGAAAGAAATTCTATCTGAATTCTATAGTAAACGTGTAAATTTTGTATAGTTACACATTTGTAATAAATATATATTTATAAATCATGCTGATTCACAAGTGTACATTTAACCGTTAAAATATATAAAATGGAACTACACAAGAATGACTAAAAAATATATAATACCATAATTTGATTTTGTGGACTTTATAAACATTCTACAAGTGATATTAGTAAATAAGTGGAAATAAAAATAGTATGACGGGGATACATCATTGAATATTAAATTACCAAAATTAATGCTGTGTTTACATATATTTAATGATATGCATAGTATAATGGTTTGAAAACATAATATGAGTGGAAATGGAATGTTATTTATGCGCACCTATATAAAATTTAATTTCCTTTGACGTACCCTATTATGTAATATGCCCCTGAAATGGATGAGGGTTTTGAAGTCGCCAGAGGACCGTATGCATGGCAACCTGTCAAGTTATTTCTCTCCATAAATTAGAATCAATCATTCGGTATATTAAACATATTATACTCTCTACTCAAATATACATATAGGTACCCTTGATTAAAATAAACTAAGTATGACATATAATTTTTGAATAGAAATTTTAAAAATATTATTAAGGTATAAAACAAAATAGTATCTATATTAAAATTATTCAAAATCTGTACATTAGTAAAAAATATTACTTTTAGACTCACTCGTAGAGAGTTCATTACAAAAGCGGCTCAATTATACATATTCGATTTTCATGCAAGATACTGTTATTACGTATATAAATAAAACAATTAAAATAAATAACACTACATTGTAAAATAAATTGTACACTAATTCCAATAAATAGTGCGCATTTTTTTATAGTACAATATTCTAAAAAAATACATTATTAGATTAGATTACCTTTCACACAAAAATATCCAATATTTAGTACATTTCGTTATATTCATTAGTTATATCATCATTAGTTATATTCACCAGTATATTTGATAATAAATGTTGACTAAAGTTTATTACAGCGTAAATGTTTCTTTAATTTATAGAGTCGTCGCGACAGACTACGCTGGTCGCTTGAAGCAGAACGAATGAAAGCGGGCATGTTGACAAGGAGGGATCTTTTGCGTGACTTCCAAGACGCTACAGACGAGGTTATAGATCGTATTATCATTATTGCATCAGTACAAATTATTTAGTTTAAGACAACCAGCTTTGCATAGGACTAGATACGTAGTGTTTTATAAATGCGGTTGGAGTTCAATTTATTAGTATTAGTTTACGAAAGTTTTTCTCGGGTTCGGTTATCAGCTCTATCTTTGTAGTTAAGATTAATATAGCGAAATATTTTTTAATAATGAATCAAGCTTGAAAATTTAATTAATGTATATGATTATATCTTAATTTTATGATTGATTTTAGATTATTTTCAGATTTTATTTAAATTTATAATCAAAATTAAAATAATATTGTAAATTCTCATACTGTGATTTCATCATATTGTTATTATTAGAATATATTATTACGATTTTACTGATTTTAATAAGATGGTATGTATTTGAATACTTCACTACTAAAACTTGGCTGAGATCATTTTGCCCTTTGTATTAATTAAGAGAAGTACAAATTTAGTTTAAAATTATGAATGGTAGATATCAGAAGGTTCTTTTAGAATTATCAGCAAGTATCTAAATAGTATAGTATAATAATACAGAAGAAAATAAATATCACAGTTAAATAAAATATGTATGGACAAATTAAACGTATAATAAGTGTTTGTTACTGATCACATAAAGTTTTATAAATGTTAATAAATTTACATATTAGACACTTGGTACGTTACCATAGATAAATTCTATTTATTTGATATTTTCTTTCATTGGCATTTTTGTTATAGATTGATTATATAGGATCGTAGATAGTACATCTAAATATATTATGTCTACATTGAGAATTCGCAATAGCCTTGGGGAGCTGTAAATGTCATGAAAACGTATTTCATAATATTTTACGACTCTGATGTTGATGTTTTACTTAGACATCAGTATTTGTAAGTGGAGTCTCGTAAATTGATCTCTATATTACTATTTCTATATTTTACTAATAACTGAATGTTTATTACTATTTTCAAATTGAATTGTAGTTTATCAATGATGAAACAATATTTTTTTCTGTTTTAATGATATTTATTATAGTAACAACAGAAACATATAGTCAAGATTGTTGTCTTACATGGAGTAGTTATGAAACATTATCGGTCGATATCTCTGGTTTCAATGAGTATATTTAAATCTATCGAACATTCACAAGGCTACTAACCCACGACGCTCTCATTTGTTATTTAATATCTATTAAAATAATATATACATATGTATATTTATTATCTAAGAATCTCAAACTAAATTCCTATATTAATATTTCAGGTGGGAAAATTAAGACAGAAAAAAGAATTACTGGAACAACAAATTGCTGATACTACTCGCAAGTTGAGAGAGGTACGAAAATGTATGCAACTACAACGTGGCACAAACCAAGAGGCTTCCAATACTAACGTCTGATTTTGAAACAGACGTTTGAAATTATAAAAAAATATTATTCTATATATATAAATATTATTCCTTATAAATCCACTTTATTGTTATAATAATGAATTAAAAATTTATTTATATTATATATTAAACAAGTTAATAGTGTCTATTATTATTTGAGTCCACAGAATTACATCCTTAGATCTTTAAATTGAGTATAAATAATAATTATTATTATAAATTTTAATAATTATTTATTAAGAATATAATTTATAATCATATTATTTAGACTAATTAAACATATAATAATGTTATTCTGTTATTGTTTGTAAATGAACACAGTTTTAAATATCCATTTTTAATTGAATATCTATGAATAAAATTCGCTATATTTAATATAAGTAAACTAAATAATTAACATTTTGAATCATTTTGGTCTTGACATAATTTTTCAGATTCAGATTCTTGTTTGTCAGGAATATTTTCCTTAATAATAGGTCCGTGTTTCCAGTTCGGTGGATACCCGAATTGCCTGACGTCATCCCACCACTGTTGCTGGCCATCTGCCCAAATGCAGTACACCACATTAGTGCCCACTAGCACAGCGAAGCACACCCAGAATGCACCACGCCATTCTACTAGTGTAGACTAAAACAAATAAAAATAATTGTATAACTATTGGAATACTTTCAAATATAGGCATAGTTGAATTATTTAAATGGTTACTAACCATTTTGATAATTCATCTATGCCTCAAAATTATGATCTAAATTGTACATCATGTTAAAAGAATAGTTTAGGGAGAAGGGAATTGTTAATAATGTGGTCTAGTGATTCCATTCTTAAATTTTGCTAAAGAAACTATTCGGAATGAACTTACACATATAATTTTAGTTCGAATGTACTGCTTCCCTGTTCTTAGCTCAGTGTATATAGCATATAAGGATAACGACGTGTTTCAAAATACTCACATTTGGCGTCATCAATCCAATCAGGTACGGCAATAACATACCAGCAAATGTAGAAATGGTATTTAGAAGTGAAGTTAAAGTTCCTGTGTGGTTGGGAGCAAGGTCTAACACGTTCACCTTGAATTAAATACATGGATTTATACAGATATAGCATTTAATATTTCTACAATTATATTTATTCATAAAGCTTTAACCCTAAATAAAAAAAAAATTAAACATATATCTTAAATTTTTAAATAAATAGGAACTCATAATATATAAAATAAATAAATGTTAATAGTAAAAAAAGGATAAACAAAACCGTTTTAAAGGATTGGCTCTAGTTAACGTTTGTTACCTACAGAGTATATAGGTACTATGTGCCAATATACTATGTATGTACGTACATAGTACAATAAGTAATGAAAATTTTATACATAAAATACTTTCATATGTAAAATTTTCTTTACTTACTGTGACATCATTACGCTTACGTAAATATTATATTTATTAATCGATGTTAGAGAAAGACGCGTGAAACATATAAATAAAAATGCTCACCTTCATACCACTGTAAAAACCGGCCATAAGTGCCATAGATAATACGAAGTAAACCATGGCAGCAATGCGATCACATCCAGCATATGATGCTAGGACAATGCAAATAGCAGGACCCGTAGCAGCTGGAAATATTAAATCATTTCAACTTTACAATTTCAATACTTTATTACATGTAATTTAATTAAATTCTATTACATAGGACAACTAGAGTAATAATAATAACACAAGACAACAGTGTGCTAAATCACTAAACCACCGATCCTGTCAATTGCAATTGTTTGCTGTTATTTTAGGAAAATATGACTCTTGAAGGTTTCAATATTGATTGGTTCAAAAATACTTTTACTGGGAGTTCAGCTTGACACGGGCAGATGGAATTAGCAAGCAGCTTCTTTACTATTTCAGTTATATAAAAAACTAGATTATATATACGCACCTATTGTAGTATAAATAATTCTTCCAGTCTTGACAGAATGCCAACCTTTCTTAATGCAGAAGTCACAGATCATGCCAAATGGTATTGAGCTAACCAACATTGCAATATAGGGTAGGGCAGTCAGTGTACCGGTGGTGGCTATATCGAACTTGAGAACATCGTGAGAGTATTTTGGAAGATCCGTAACCATTATGTAGTAACCCCAATCGTGACCAATCTGCGAATTATCACAACTTTTTGATTAAAAAATATTCCAATCGTGATGAAATAAATATGTACTAAACTAACCGGGATTGAGAATTTCTCGAATTTCTCCTCGGTAAAGACACTTGAAGAAAACATGCAGCAGAATCCACAAGTACTGAAACTAGTGTAATACTCGTCGTCCCCTTTTACATGGCTAAAATATTTTATGTCAATCCAAAATTATTACAAAACTTAAAAGTGGATATATAGACTTAAAAAATCATTGACCGCGCTATAATATTAGAAAATATTAACAAAACATTCAAAGTTGAAAATCATATTTACAGCAGCGAATATAAGTGCCCAGACAGGTCCCGACCGCAACATCCCTTTCCACGGTACTGGATCTTTAGCGTTGTGATTCTCAGCAATCGTGACGTTATTATTCAAATACTCTAACTCCTTCTTCGAGATGTATGGATGTGTATTTGGGGTACTGTAGCATAATAAAGCCTAAAAAGGGCATATAAAAAACGTTAGATCTTTTCTAGACTTGAATTTTTGATAGAATAAAAACATCTTTGATATATCATTGAACATTGACCTTTAAAGTAGGAGCTGACAAGTAAAGTGGGATGTATTTTTTTTAAAACTGAACATTTCTGCACTCGAGAAATACATATCGACTTTGCACATATGCAATTTACGTACAAAGTCGATGTTGGTCCCTAGTATTAAATAATTACATAAATTATCCGATTCTAAAACCTTAGAAGCGAGTGTTTTTGTTAGATATCATCTGAATATAATAACAGAAGCAAACTGTTTTAAACAAAAACATTCAAATATATTTACTGGGTTGCATGAATAAAAAGTCAATATTGGTCTGTAAGGTAGGGGGAGGAAAATTTATAACGAAAACTGAAGTTATTAAAATATTATGAATAGAATTTGCAGTGTTTATCCAGCTAATTAGTTGCGCTACATTCATTGTGGCCGATAGCAAGGTGGAGCTGAACTATGTAAATATATGTGCTTATATTTGTTTTGTTAGATTATAACTACCTGTTAAAAGGTTTATTTCATAGTATATCTGATAACGTTAAACTACTGTTTAGCATATATTCCAATCCTATAGTCTTTTTTTATGATAGTGTATAAATCACTATCTTCAGTATGAGATCGTCTAAATGTAATAATATTTTTATATAGAACCCCAAAATATTCTAGAATATTTATAACAGAATTATGCTTGATTCCATCTTACAAAGTTCTAAGGGATAGTAAGGAAATTATTATTATATTTTAGAGTTATTAGGAACATTAAAAATTCTGATTGATATAGACAAATAGTAATTTCCTATTTAAAATCTTATACCTCTTACCCACAATATAAACCATACAATTCCAAATCCACCGAAAAAATAAAACACATAAGCCCAATCCCTTCCATTTGATAGTAGAATACCAGACATGAAGGAACCGAAGATATTTCCGATTTGCGCTCCTCCAAAGACAAGGGCTACATGGAGAGACCTTTCTTGAGGAGGTATCCATCGAGCTAATATAAGCATGAGACCTGGCATAGTTGGGCCCTATGAAAAGGAAAACACACAGTAAATTCTTAAGTAGGTAATTCACTACTTTTAAATTTATATTTTTTTAAATATCTATTTTAGTTTATTATATTTTGTTATGGCTATTTTGGTAAAATAATTGTTAGTGGTTTAAAAATAGGAAATCCTCCTGCAATTATACCAAAATATACAGCGTACACCATACATGTCAAAGTATTTTGGTTCTGTTTATTTTAAGTTCTATAATTCTAAGATTGTTTTGCTGATATATATGTACCTCTCCCATTCCTTGCAGAAATCGAAGTATGAACAACCACGTTGCACCACCTACGTTGACCACAATAGGAGTGAGGAAAGTGAATATAGCTGTACTCAATAATCCTACTCCCAGAATCCATTTACCACCAAATCTCTCAGCTAAGTAGCCACCGGGCACTTGTGTGACTGCATATCCATAGTAAAAACCACTTAATATAAGGCCCTGCGTAGACTGATCCCAGTCAAAGGTTTTGTACTGAAATATGAAAAGAAGAATATTTATATGCGATTTTCAAATTAAATATTTTTCACCGAGGTTATATCAAAATTCGTCGCTAAGCAGTTTCTTTTCTAAGCTATGCTAATAGAAAATGATCTAATATATGAAAACCGCTACATTGCTATGGTAAATTATTCATAGAATAAAACATAAAGAAATACACTTTTTTTAATCAACTGAAGATCTGTATATTGCTAAGATATAACTGAAGTATTTCTTGGAGAGGAGAAACAAGATGTTTTGCACTCAGTAACACAAAATTTCTTACGCATCTTAGCTTCGTACGCATGTTTTGTACTGATCATCAATCTGACGATTTATTAATATGTACATATTTCTCATATGTGGTTAATATTATCGCGATTTTTTTTTGTTTTACCGAATGATTTTCTAAACCCTAAATTTCAGAAATAGCTTAATATTATAAAGAAGAAATTTATTTACCGATTTCTCAATGTCGAATGTTGTAATATTGTTTATTACATTATCACTGGGACAAGCGTTTTCATCGAAATAATTGTTTGAAGTTTTGTTGAATGTAACCATCTGAGTGATAGCTAAATTGAGACAAACACGCATAGTATATGCATTGCATACTCCCAACAAGCCTGTGATGCTTAATATATAACGTTGAGGGACGAAGCAACCTATAAGTATATAAATCACATAAGGGGACATCTATAAACTACGTAACATGTTTACGGTGGAGGAAGGAGACGAGACGACAAAAGTGTGATATTGTAACAAATGGATGATAAAGAAACTTTCTGTAAAATATCATGAAATCTAAAACACCGCTCATTCCTGAGAATAAGGTTCTAGATTTTCTCACAATATACTAATTTTAATACCAAAATATAAAATTCATATTTTGTATTTTAATACTAAAATCGTGATATAAAATATTAATTAACATGTGATTGGATGTGACAGGAGGAATGGGGAATAATAAAATTACTGTGACATTATTTGAAAATCATCAAATATGATTTTCAATTTCTGTAAAAATTTAAATATATGGATTTTTATTACGATTACTAAAAATATTAAAAATTAAATGCTCTTTTGTGGATAATACATCTATCTCGTTACTTACATGATCGTAGAGTATCAGTTAAGGTATTTTCTGATTTAGCATATTCTACTTCCTCTTCTTCAAGAAGTTTCTGCACTGGTACCGGTTGCTCATCATTTTCCATTTTTTATTAATTGATTTAAATTTACATTTAAATTAAAACACTTCAGTACTACTGTAAAGACTTCTACCTATGAATTATCACCATTTAAAATGATGATTATATTTTTTTTTACTGCAAATAAAGGTATTTGTATTTTCAAGTACAAACAGTAGCTACTATTTATACATCGTTATCACTTCTTATCTTATAATTTGCTTATATTTGAAATTTTCTAATGTAAGATAGATTTATTTGAGATGCCATTCTGCACCTATTTTATCTGTCCAATTTACCGTAATTGGAAAAAGTTAGTTTAGTTTAATGCTTTAACTATTTACTGGATTTTTTAAATGTATTCTCTCTGGTTAAGCTAAATAGGAGAAAACAATATTATTCTATTGTACATATATTTGTATATGTGTAAAAGAATACGACGAATTTTAGTTTCAGGGACCAAGCTATAAGTAAATTATAAAATTTATTAAATGCTGGAATTTATTTATTGAAATGATTGATTAAGGATGACAAACTCAACAGAACCTTTGTTCTTTTTACTATTACTTTCTTTTTTATAAATCGCGCTGAAATCCGTTGAACCATTTCTGATATTAGCGCGCACAAACCCACGGACAAAGAGACATATTTTTTTAATAGTTTTATGGTATTGATACATTGATTAAATTTCATATATCTTACATTATATATATAGACAGCGGTCAGTGAAATGTTTCTTATATGTATATATTTATAATGACATTTTGTAATCTCCAACAAACATGTAACTTTCAGTTTTTTAAACTATAAGCGGAATTATTGAATTATGTAATAATTACAATCATTTCATATTTAGCGTTTACATAATATACTACTCTATATTTTAATATATTATCTTATTTATTTAATGATACAGATGATATTTATAACATCAAATAAGTACGTGATTTTGTATATATGTGATCTCGTTTACATAAATTATCTGTTATCTGACCGGGATCAAGTAGACTAACAATATCTGTTAATGGGCGATTAAATTGAAATTGTTAACAATACCCAACATAAAATTAAACATTTTTTTGTATGTTGGAGATAATGTATGAACTATACTATACTTCCATATAAGTAAAAGTATTTTATAAATAATCAAAAGGTAAACTAATAACTGTTTGTGTAATTATGAATACATGAGAAAAACTGTTAATGGTGGAATTTATCAAAGTAATAGAATTCAAAATAACGACTCTTAGAATATTTGTTTTGTGTGCGGAATCTCAGGAGCCGATTTGAGTGCGGTTTTCACTAATTTATTATAAGGTAAGTTTGTTTTTTAACCCCAACGGTTTAGCAACTAAAAAGTTGCAAACTATTGTTAATCAGAATACCACGAAGAAAGACACGGGTTTATTATGATCATGCTGTTTATGTTTTACAGATTTATATTAATATGTTAAAGAGTTTTCCCTTGTATTTTACTTTTGGGACTAAAACCTAAAAACTAAACTAAAAAATTAGTCCTGAATTCGAAGTTGCCTGACGTCAAAAATCATGAGTTTTTTTTGGACGGAAACTCTAGTGATATCAACACCGATAATGAACGAAGAAAATAATGTCAGGTGCAACGTCAGAAGGACCCCTTGCCTATGTTTGATTCAATTATACATCCTATGTAAGTAAGCAAGTCGTTTATTCGAATTACAGACAGATATATATAACAATGACCTAAGCCACAGTGACATTAGCGGTCTACGCTGTAATATGCCTTTAAATTAATTAAATTTTTATTACTAAACCTTTACGTTTAATCTAAGCGTTTCCTTAGGCCGACAATTAACGAGACATCGGACTAACTCAGATGAGTTCACAGAGATGGTATAATATTATTTCAATCCAATCCGATGCCAAATCATAAAACATACTTTACTTAATAAGTTTTAAAAAGTATATTACACTCATTCTGTTTAGTTTTTAACCTTCTGTCTAGTTTACGATAATCCTAATTCTCTGCTCGACTGGTGACTTTAAGCTTATGAGCCATTTTGATGGTCTAAATCACTAAAATCGATGGGAAGTCACGTTTTTGCACACTTAGTGGATTCCTGCCATCCTTTACTTGAAATTTTATTATAATATTACAATTATAATATACCTTACTATGAATTGTAATTAATGATTATGTAACAACAATTTATAATTTATATAAAGATACTAGAGCAAACTAATTGGATATTTTTTTGGCGTGAGGGGATTGTTAATAATGAAAACTGCGGCTATTTTGCTACGATGGACTAAGTGACCCTGCATCACGCTCATCCTATTATCCATCAATGGTGCCGCGCCAGCGTATTGTGTTCGATGAGGCGGATACGCGAATACTTTTAAAGATGACAAAGTCATATTTACTTTGATATAAAAGTATAATAACTAAATAATGTTTGTAAAAAATAGTAATCTGTGGTTTTAATTTTTATGTGCCATATCGTTTTATCTAAGTACAGCACAATAGTATTCGATGATCGTTGAAAATGAAGAGAAGTTAAAAAGAGTTTACTCTTTTTATTAAGAGACTTTTCCGATTATGGATATTGAAACTTAAAAATACTTGACCGATATTTTGATTTATTTCACTTATGGGATGCCGTCATCTTTGAGAGTTATATATTATGAAAGATTCCTACGAAGAAGAATACAGCTTGAATAGTAGCCATCTTATTAATTGCATTAATTGTAATAAATTTTTGTCTTTAATCTCAATATAATATATGAGTTTTTATTTTGTTTTTTTACTTAAGAAAGTCGGTGCTGCAAATGTCAACATGTCCTATGAATCTAATTCAGTCTTGTTTAATTAGGTTACATGGAAGTTTCCACTTCGATGGGCCTTATAATCTTAACCTTTCCTTTCCTAATACTTTGTTCGAGTTTTAATATTTAAATATAGATACTGTTCTAAAATAACTAATGTTTTCTTTCTTTAATCGTAATTATTTTGACACCATTAATAATTTTATTACATGACTTTTAAAATTTGTAATTTATATCTATGAATAATTTTTCTGTATGTTTATTCATCACCTAACTCTTCCTAAACGACTGTGCTATTGTCATATGTAATAGTTTTACCGTATTAATTTCAATGAGTTTATGGATGCTTTAAAATCAGAATTGGATCGGTATGATGCTGCTCTCGATAAGTCGGTTTTCCAAGCAGGACTACGTTTGCCGGCCTTCTTAGTGATTAATATATAACAATAATATTATACCATTACATCTTATACTTTGCAGTAATAATTTATAAATGGGAAAAAGTAGTAGTAGATGTAAAAATAATTATTATAATTATATACAAAAATTATAACTCTTATACAAAGTGTTGCCAATAGGAAAACAAAAACTAAGGTACATTCATAGAAGTTTTATTTATCTTTATTATGGCAATTATACATTTTTTTATGATTAATTTTTAACTTAACTCTGTTTAATAACCAAAATAGTTGCACATGAGTAAATACACATATATTGTCCAGTGATGTAATTTTTTCATTGTCTTAGAATACATAAAAATGTTTATCATACTGCAGAAGAAAATAATGTGTATGCTTTACTTAGCATACAGATAATTTTTTTATTAAATATTACTAAATTTAATATTCATGACCGATATAGTTATGCAACGAAGGTAAAGTATGTATAAAAATAAATAATGGTTTATCTTAGCAGATAATAAATTTCCAAATTGACGCTTTCACAGCTATTTATGGTTAAAGAATTTTGTATAGGTCGAAATATAAACAAATTAATAAAGACTATTACGTAAAATATAACACTAAAGATGAGAAATTAATAAAAAGTGTTGACATAGAAAAACAGGATAGCTGCATAGAAATAGAAGTATTTTGTAAATCCCAGACAAGAGCACCAATTTACGGACTATGATGATTGTTTGCTATGAGTGAGCTGACAATAAAGCATATGTGGCTAGAATTCAGATTATTCAGACTAGAACCAATTTGAAAATATTGTAAATCTATTGTAGTATTATGCTATGTACTAATATAATGTTAATAAATATTATACATATGTTATTTTTAGAGGTTAATCTGAAAATTAATAAAATTATTTGAAACTGTATATTATACGTTACTGTATATTTTTATATGATATACTCGTATACACGCGTATTACTTATATTCGGTTCAACAAAATACAAACTTGTAATATATTCGAAAATACGATGGGACTGGCATTATTATATTATGATAAAAGTCCCTATATAAATGTAAAAATTAAAAAATATATATATGTATTCGGAAATCTATATCAAGATACCTGACCAAGGTAGTAACAGTAGAGAAATACATATGTTTTGAGAGAGAGATTACCGAGTAGATTAAATAATAATATAATAGGCTACTATAGCTATACATACATATATTTCTTCCAACTTCCAAATATATTTTTCAACTTAAGCTAAATACAAAATGTCATTGACAGTATTATATAGTTAAGAATATTTTCATTACAAACTTTGTACTTATGTTTATTATAAATTAATTGTTAAGCTTAATTAAAGTAAACGTATGAACAATATAATTTAATTGGGGAAAACTCCCGTAAATGAACACATTTTAAAAATTTTTAAAGACTGAAATGTTATAGTATATAAAATTGTTTCTGTTTGTGTGTCGTTTTTTAACTTATACTTTCAAGCATCGCCCAATTTAGTTGATACTTCGTATATTTATTTGTTATAATTAATTACACTAATTGCACAAAATATATACGGTTTATCGTAAAGTATATACTAAACCAAAAACCAAATAGAATAGTACTCTAACTAAACAACTCCAACCAAGAAAGAAAGTAGTAATCAGTAAATAAATTTTGTATTTTCAAACTTAATTCATCACGTGACCCTTCAATTTGAGAGAAAGTCTTGTAAAATATTTTCCGCTTTGCTTCATTTGCTTTCGGTTTTGTAAACCCTTCACGATTAACCTTATATAATTATACTTATTCACAATAAGTACAGTGGCATTACAAATATATTTTTGGCACTAGTATATGTTTCGTCTAATAAATGATGCAAGAGTATTCAACTATCAATGTAGGTTTACAACATAAGTGTATACAATTAGTATACCTCTTTGTCATCAGATAACTTAACGGATTCTCTTTGTTCTATATCCTGTTTAATGAGAGGTCCGTGTTTCCAGTCTGGTGGATATCCGAACTGCCTGACGTCATCCCACCATTGTTGCTTTCCATCTGCCCAGATGCAGTACACCACATTAGTGCCCACCAGCACAGCGAAGCACACCCAGAATGCACCACGCCACTCTACTAATGTTGACTGTAATAATAAATCAATATTTAAAAACAGATACATTATAAAGCGTAACCTAATCTCGATCTAAGTAGGTCTAATATTAACTATGATAGAGATTAGAAATAACAATAAGTAATAAACCCTGGATAATTCTCACAGTGCCATCTACTCGCTTGTGTTATGTGTACTAAATAACTGATAGAAATAATTAAATACATTTTTTTTTGTTTTCTAGAATACACACATAATATACAACTAGATATATATTATATAGATATATATAATAATATTGATATAACCGTTTTTTACTACATGCATATGAATATAAATACGACATATACACCAAAATAACATTTTTTACAATTTTTGTCTGTCTGTCTGTTTGTTCCAACTAATATCTAAAATCTAAAATTCTCTTTTTAATTTATATAAATGACCTTCCCTACATGGTAGAGAAAGTTGTAGATATAGTGTTATTTGCGGATGATACTTCGATAGTGTTTAAAATTGGTCGCCAATGTAATCAATTAGACGATGTAAATTATGCTATCTCTGCTATATTAAATTGGTTCACATGTAATAATCTATTATTGAACTCCAACAAAACTAAGTGTATTAAATTCACGCTTCCTAATGTAAAACAAGTAAATACGCAGCTATTGCTTAATGATGAAATAGTAAATTTTGTTAATGATACAGTTTTTTTAGGAATAACAGTGGACTCGAAGTTACAATGGGGGCCCCATATTTCATAATTAGCCAGTAGACTTAGTTCTGCTGCTTATGAATTAGAAGGATAAGGCAATTAACAGACGTGGCGATGGCAAAACTTGTATATTTTAGTTATTTCCATAGCATTATGTCATATGGCATACTGCTGTGGGGTAAAGCTGCCGATGTAAATACTATATTTATTTTACAAAAGAGAGCCATACGTTCTATTTATGGTATGGGTTCTAGAGAGTCATTACGTCAATGCTTTAAACAATCAAATATCCTCACCGTTGCCTCACAGTATATTTATGAAAATATTACGTATACAAGGAAAAATTTAGATAGTTTCAAGAAACTTAAAGACTGTACAAGTAGAAACTTACGCAATAAAAATAAGCTAATTTTACCTAAATGTCGTCTACACAAAGTTAGTAATTCATTTTATGGTAATTGCGTAAGATTCTATAATAAACTGCCAGAGTCTACGCTAAATCTTACAGAGAGGCAATTCAAATCTTATATTAAACAAATGTTATGTAAAAAAGCCTATTATAAAATAGATGAATTTATAGATGATAGCAATATATAGCAAGAATAAGTTTATTTGCGGACAACGTTATAATTTTAATTTTCATACTGCTTTCTTGATATATGATAGCGTAGCGGCTTTTATATTGATTGCCGCATGCATCCGTATGTAAAGTGCGAATACTGTAACTACCATATAGTAATTTTTGTGGCTGTGACGTGGTCGTGTGGAATGAGTAGTCATGCTCACTAAAATGTCCAGTCATGTGGCGGCGTGGTGGGCCGGGTCATTGGGCTCCCTAAAATATGGTCGAGCGTAGTGATGGCTGGCTCATCCGTCATACTCGTGAAACGAGTGCTGCTTGTAGGGACTGGTCTGCTCTTATCACTACGACTGATTTAATCTTATTGCATATTTATATTTGACCCAAAAATTAGTGCTTGTTGGTAGTTTGTATTCACACGTTTCGACTTGTAAATGTAAACTTACAAGGATTATTTAAAAGAGCAACACACAAGTTTCTTGCTCGTTCTTCTTGTGATGAGACAGCTTTCCGAACGAGTGGTAGATAAAAAACAAATTGTTATGACTATTCAAAAGTGCTTAAATTAAGTTTATTTGAATAAATTATTTTCTATTCTATTCTATTCTATTCTAAAATGGCTGGACCTATTTTGACGGGACGTTTTTTGGCAAGTAGCTGGTGTAATAAGGAGTAACTTAGGCTACTTTTATTTTAGAAAGATAAAGTTAAATTCCACGCGCACGTAGTCGCGAGTCCAGCTAGTATAATATACAATTAGAGACATGGATACATATTTTTACATAGTGAGAGGACTCGAACCCGCGACCATAGGAACCTTGATAACGAGCTCACTGCCACATGGCTAGTGCAACCTAGTTGAGAAAGATAAATGCCTATGGGTACCACAAAATTATTCGTTTTAACAAAATAATTAATCATTTTGATCATATTTCTCAAAAAGAGCAATCGCTGATTTGAATAATAGTATCATATTTTATTTCGCATTTTTGTCACATAATTTCTTTTCTCATTTATAGACAAAGGCTATGATTTGAATATACTGATCACTAAAAACATGGCAATGAAATTGTCTGCAAGCACTTTGAATTATACAAAGAAAGTCTGTTGAAATTTGAAAGATACGGCTTAACATATTAATAAAAATACTATAAAGTACCTACATTAAATAGAAAAACTAACGGTTAAATGAAATTCTAAAAATCTTTGTTACGTGTCCTGGAGTTATAACCCCAAAGAGAATAAATAGCCTTTCAGGTCAAAACATTACAATTGAAACACGCAAGTCACAATTTTATTACAGAAAGTACAATTCAGTATCTTTGTTGTTATTAATCGCATATTTATTTTTTAAATTCTAATTTATAACAATCTACGGTATAAAAAAAAAATGTATATCCATACAACATACTTATGATATGATATATGTTCCTTATTCCGAATAATTACTTAGTACAAGCAGATTGTATCACCGGCTTGCTTACTAGAGCAAATAGCGCTTGATATTACTGGCCACCAATAAAACATGTAGCCACTTAAATTTTGAATGTAAAACAAAAATATGAATAAAAAAAAAGATGTTTGGTATATTTATCATTTTAAAACAAGTGCGTGCCCAATAAACTGTCTATATATTGCGACATTTCTGAGTAAGTTTGGTATTACTTGTTCGGTGTGCGAAAGACGTTCTTAATCAAAATCGTATTCTAGGAAGGACCTATTCCATTCATTGTTTACTTTTCCAAAATTGATAGTCCACTATCTATTTTTAAATAAGTTTGTTGTAATAGTTAAATGCCACTCAAAATACTTGCCTTTGACATTTGTTGAATTATTGACTTTATATTATTGTATTATGCGCATATTCGTGACCACATACCTAGAATTGGGCATTTTAAAAATTTTTGAAATATTCTAAAAATGACAAAATGACTTGTATCTAGAGCCGTAAAGCATAATTTAAAAATAGCTTTGAAAATGTATATTCCTTTAAATATAAAATAGCAAGTCGTCAATAAATATGCAATTGAACTATTTTTAATATCATAATGATAATTATTGTAAAACTTTTTTCTGCACTCCATAATAGTCGAATATTATATTAATAATAGCAGCTGATAATATACAAATTTTACATTGTATAATTTTCGCTAAATCACAGTGTACGTAATGTATTTTTAATGTATTAGCGACCTATATTTTTATTATGATACTTACATTAGGTGTCATTAGTCCTATAAGATATGGTGTCACTATTCCAGCAAACGTAGAAGTGGTGTTTACAAGGGATGTTAATGAGCCCGCATAATTGGGGGCCAGATCCAATGCGTTTACCTGAAAATGAAATTATTGAATTTTAAACTTCATTTAAATTTTTTTCATTCATTCATATTGGTAGATTTTGTACAAAGTCGTTTACTTATGATATACTCCTATTTCTACCGGTAAGTAACTTGATTTATAGTGTTTTAGTTTGAATGGTTAGATATAATAATAAAAATTACATGATATGGATGTCTCCATCTTTGTCGTCTAGAATAGCAACGCATCATGGTATCTTGGGCATGATCTGACAATTTGATATCTATGGTATTGTTCATGTAGGTATATAGGCGACGGTTGCTACTGTTCATCGAGTAAGCATATAATAATAATATTTGAAGTTGTTAATAAAATATACTAAAGTCATATTTCTTATTTACTAAAGTTTCTTTATATTTATTTCACTGGCAATAACCAGAAGAATTGTAAATTTAAAGACTTGACTGGAAGAAATCCCTCTATTGGAATAAATCTGCCATGTATTTATTCAGTTCTTAAGAACTTTGTACGCTTATACCTTTAGTTTACTGTACAATAAACAGTCACAAATAAAATTGCTTTTACAAACTTTAACCTATCGTTGAGAAATCTAACTTCTTACCAGTATTTAGTTGGAACAAGATTCTATAATACCATGTATTACAGTGCATGGTATGTATTTAAAAGTTCTTAAGTATCTATTAAAGATATTAAATTAAAATGGAGTACTCTTTTTGTTATCATTATATTATCAATATTACCTCTTTTTCTAACATAATGTATAATATATGTATATTGTAATAGTTACATAAAATATATTAATCCTGACAAATTTTAGACGGGTATAACATATTCCAATGGGAAAGGACCCTTTTAAAATTTGTTAATATTTAATACTTTTAGTTCTTTAGTTTTCTATCTTACTATTATAAAGAGAGAGGGAACAGAGAGGAGAAGAGAGGATTTATGAGGAATGCAATTTCCGGTTCCACTGCACCGATTTCAGAAAATCTTTTAAAAGGCCCATTATTCCAGACGGTTATAGAATATCTGTTATCTTAATATATACAAAATACATGAAGTGACACCCGGGCGAAGCCGTCATGGATTAATAGTTGTAATATAAACAACAAAACAAATTACCTTCATACCGCTGTAGAAGCCTCCCATAAGCGCCATAGACAGTACAAAATAAACCATAGCAGCGGTACGGTCACATCCTGCATACGATGCTAGGATAATGCAAATAGCTGGACCAGTAGCAGCTGTAAATAAATATATTGTATTAGTCAATAACAGAACAGGCCTATTAAGGTCGGTGCATTATGATTTCACGAATACGATTATAGCCGAGTATAATTTCAATTATCTGGATCATGTCATAACTTAGGGACTATAGAGGAATAAAATTTAAAACTGACAAGACCAAAATTAACTAGCAAGACTAAACTATAAGACCAAAGAAAAATAACTTTTCTTAATTTTAATGTATAAGCAATGGTTGTTTGAAAATTGAAACTAATACAATATTAATTTACACTAATATTATAAAGAGGTAAAGTTTGTATGTTTGTTTGTTCGGTGTAATATCCGGTTCTGTTTATTCGATAACAAAAAATATTTTTCCATTAAAAAAGTATATTATAGTAGTATAGTATATATCCCTGAGTGTTATATAGGCTATATATTATAATATCACGTGACGACCAATAGCAATGGAGCAAAAAATATTTCGTACAATTTAAAAATTAAATAAATACCTATTGGGCCCGTGTTAAGGTGAGTAGGTTATTAGTCACATATAAATAGAATTAGTTTTTCTATGAAACAACTATTGATAGAAATTAAATTCTTATGTTATACCTTTATCGCCGAAGCATATTTTAAAGGCACGTTCAGCTGGTTAAACACATAATTATTTACATTTTATGGAGGTTAAAAGTGCCATTGATAACAGTGTTTTGAATTTATTATAGAAACATCATTAATAGCATTTTGGAAACGTTGGTTTAAAAAGCGTTAGAAATAAAATTATATAATTTTTTGACTAAATACTGCCAACTATAAATATTTCTGACTAAAATAAAAACTAGCAAATACCCTCCTCTATATTGGCTGTTGTTTCTTTATAAAACTTTATGACAGTTGGTTAATCTATATAGTGCTAATGAACAATCTACAGTACAGCTAATTTATTCACAACTATATTAGCTCATACCTCTTAACACATTTGATGGTTAAGAGGAGGATAAGTTATAGTAGAAAGACATGACAGTAGTAGGCACATAAAATGTAATTTAAGGCCTTCAATGCATATTTTTAACTTTACTAGATGGATATAAAAACGATTTGTTTTTATTTTATACTAGCCTACCTCTAACTTCGTCAACTTTTTCAGTGATAAAAGATAGCCTGTTCACGTCATTTCATTAGATACATAGACATACGCTTTCGCTTTTAAAATACCACTAGTATGCATGGATATGTAGCAACAATTTTTTATACTGTTAAAAATAAAATAATTTCGTATAGTACAAACACCATGATAACCTGATGACCTACGATTCGTCGAAACTGTAATCGTAGTGTAGAAATAATACTAAAATCATTATTATTATAATAAAAAACAATTGAACATAATCAAATGAGTTCATATAACATATTAGTTGTGTTTAAAAGTTTAATCCCATGATTAATTAAAATGGGGAGTCCAAAATTTGGAATTACTCATTAAATTGAATTCGTTATGTATTTTTACTAATTTGTACTAAAATAAAAAATACAGACAATGTAACAAATAAATTTCATAAAAAAATATATTATATATATAGAATTATTCATGTATTACCTTTTAATCTCTACATTAAAAACAAAATTTCTCGACAAAGTTATCCAATCACAACAACCACAAACATTATGCCCAGAAATAAGATGTCTCACTAATATTATAAACGTGGAAGTTTGTGAGTATGGATGGATGGATACTTGTTCTTCTTTCGAGCAAAAACTACTCAATTAATTTTAATTAATCTTTACAATACGTATATCTAGCTTATACACCGGAATAACAAAGGCTATAAATGTCAGGCGGACGTAACTGCCGACACTGCTAATTGAGAATAAATATAGATTCCTTTTATTACATCACCATCTAAGAAAGAGAAAATAATATTAAATTACGTACTTACCAATCGTAGTATGAATAATTCTTCCAGTTTTGATACTATGCCATCCTTTCTTGATGCAAATATCACAAACTAAACCAAACAGGAAAGAACTAACCCACATAGCAATATACGGTAGAGCCGTCAATGTACCAGTGGTAGCAATGTTGTACTTGAGCACATCGTGGGAGTATTTAGGAAGGTCTGTGACCATTGTGTAATAGCCCCAGTCATGACCAACCTGTGAATTAGAATAAAATTAACATTATTATACTTATAAGTAACTTTACATAGATTTAGATTTATTTGCAGTTTGCAGGAAATATATTGTGGACAATATATTTCTAATTATTTCCTTTATTTTTTTCCGGTTACTCGAGGTCCTATAGAGTAGAATAAAAACAATCTTTGCAAGCCAACAACAAATTTCAGTTGTTTACAAGTTTGAATTATTTGCTTTATATACTATTTAGATATACAAGAAAATAAGACTTTTTTAATATCAAAAAAAGCAATGCAGTCATTAGAAACTTTTATAAGTTCCAATGGTCTTAATTAAATTGCAACATCAAACGATTGACTACATTATCTGAAAGAAAACGAATTATTAAAACGGATATTAAATTTTTCGTGAAACGAATGAAGATCGTTGATTTTCTAAAATTATTATCATTATATTTAATGCGATTTAGTATTATGCGTACAAATTTTCTAATTTTAGAACATAGGTTCAATAGTAATAAGTAAATAGGATTAATTATAAATTTTATTTATTCTTATATATATATTTTTAATTTAAATTTAAATCTAAAGTAAAATATATTTATAATTGTCATTAGTTTTATTTTATTTTGATATTGTTGGTTTTATATTATTATTTAACACAGTTAACATTTAAATTGAATATTTTTTGCTATAAAAAATATTCAATTTAATTATATTTGTATGCCATCTAAACTAATCATGTCAGATGAATTCGTTCTGTATGTATAACATCTATTTATGTAATCGCGCATGTTATGTTTTTCTAATAAAGAATCTTGAATCTTGAATAAAAACTGTTACAAATATAGGTATTATTAACCAAGTTCCACTTGTAAACATGCACAACAAGATATTATTTTACTGCCGAGTCAAGGTTTGATGGGAACATAACGATCGTCAATATATACATAGATCTAATTACAATTTACAACGCGGGACTGATAAATAATATCATACCTACGTAATTGGTATGTAATAACAAATGTGTAGTGATAAATTGAATTAAACTGCCGTGCATAAATAAATAAAAGTATATGAATACATCCTTTAGACTTCGACTTCAATAATGACCTACTTATATTTATATCACATACATACGTCAATAATTTGTTGTATGCAGTTCTTGGCGATACATGATAAATTAAAAAAATGTGGAAAGAGAATTAATACCGAAGATTTTATTATACTATTTTTAAAGAGAGAGTTTATTTCGTTAGAAAATAAAACATTCCAAATTAAAATCCTTAGTATCATATATCCATATAAATATTTCTCACTTATATAGATATAAATAAATAATAAATAAAGACAATTCACACAGCGCCATCTAGATCCAAATTAAGCTATCTAAAGCTTGTGTTATGGGAGTACCAGTCAATTGATAAAAATACATAGATATGTTTTTTTTCGTAAATACATACATATTATACATAGAAAGTATCCAAATTAATACAAACAATCATACTCATGAATACAAATGTTTGTACCGTGTGAGGAATCGAACCCGCGATCATCGGAAATAAGGCGGTGTGCTAAGCCTCTAGCGAGGCTGTCACATATATAGTACATATATGTATATGATAATTCGCATTCTAACTCCATAGCTTAAACACAGCTTCCAAAGCAATCAGTTTGGTGGATAGAATATATGAAGCCGATGTACCCACGCAGACGATTTTTTACAAAGTCTGTGTATGTGTTTCATATATTACATGAAATATAAAAAATAACAATGACTTACAGCAGCACACACGAGTGCCCACACCGGCGCAGAACGTAATATCCCCTTCCAGGGAACCGGATCTTTCACACTCTGAGCTTCAGCAGTCGTGACGTTATTGTTCAAGTAGTTCAACTCCTTCTTTGAGATGTAGGGATGCGTGTTGGGTGTACTATAGCACAGAAGACTCTAGAAAGTGACGTATAATAGTCATATTAATATTGTTTCTTGTAAAATGAATAACTGAATATGAATTGAGTTATGCTAATTTAAAAACATAAAGACATATCAAGACAGAATAACGCTTCAATAAAATGTAGTCACTATTAGACATACATACAAAGAGGTTCACTGATAGTTTTATATATTTATCGATGTAAAGTCGTTTTTATATGATCACTTGCCACTATGCTCTGACTTATTAATCGTGATACAAACATCTCCTTTATTGTTAGTGTAAAGTCATGAAAGCACCTAGCTATAGTTCTGGTTAGTCAGACTCCAGTTAAAGGTTAAGTGACAGCAGTCCAGAGCGACGTAGTATTTTAGCTGTGATTCTAGCCTGACCAATAGAATGCACAATAATAATTATGTATATACACAAAAATGCAATCAAATCCCTGAAGATTTCAAACTACTATATTAACACAAAGACTTTGTTTCATTAATATTAAACAATATCTATTTAATTCAATAAAACGAATTTGGCCTCTAATTCGGCAGTTACTGAGTCGCTGTAAATTTATAATGCGGGTCGTATCATGCATAAATCATGGTATAAATGAAGGTGTCCATTCATTATGCACGATGTTCTTAGGTAGCTAGAATCCTTATTATCGATACTGAGAGAAAACCATAAAGCATTTATATGAATGTATTCAGTACTTAAAATTTAATAAACAATCACGTACTTTTTTATGAAATCATGAAATGTCTAAAAACTGTATTTTTTATATAATTGGAATATTAATAAGCTGACGTCCTCCTGATGGTAAGCGGAGTAATTGCTTATATACATGAACTACGGACGTTAACATGTGACACTGGCAATACTCATGTGTTGCCATTCTAGCGGACTGAGATGACAATTCAACTACCTAACCGCACCCTACAACCAAGCAGCTAGTAGCTGAAATTCCAACGCAGACAACTTTTTAGATTATATCTCAGATACTTAAGCATTTATAAGTATTACTTATCAAGATAATCTTTCACATCTTCATTAGTAAAATGATTAAGTGTTAAAAAACTGCGTAGTGCTGTAATTAGCATAAAAGTATTGCCCTCTACTTCTTTCGTGTTATAGTTACATGATATATTGGTGGATCGGATAAATAGTAACGTATAGTATAGGTATAGAGGACAAACATACAAACATTCATTTATATATATATATATATTATATAAAGATTATGTATGGAAACTACAATTAGCGGCAAACATATTGAACAAAATATACAAAGAAGTTTGCACAGTAGATAATTTACTATGCAGGTCATGAGGTATTAAAATCGTGTTCAAATTATTTGATATCTACCTGTTTCCTTTGCAGCCATATTCATATTCTATCATAGTCAGTATTCATATTAAAAAACGAATTACTTGAATATTTTAGTGAGCAAAGTAGTCGATTTAGAAGCGAATAAATCATCTCTTTTATAAAAATACAGATAAATGAAAGGTTACCTGTGCAATAACAGATTTATCCATAATTTTTATCTTATAATATATACTTTTTCCTTATTTCTCTTACGTTACTACTTTCGTCCCTATTTATATGCATTTTAATATTATCCTATGATATATGTTAGACTTTATATTCGAAACATTCGAAACAAAAGAACAATACCACAAACTGTATTTTCGTTAATTTAATGTGAATTAAGGTAGTGCTCAAACTGTGAACTACCAAATATTGTGTAACAGTTTAAATAAAGTTCCACAGTTTCGCAATGTTTGATCTGTTGTTTTAATTTTTGCGAATATTACCATTTTCATAACGAGTCCCATATCAAGTTTGAAAATCACATATAGAACTTAAATTTTACGAACATAATAATATTTTGCCTTTCCTGTGATAAACTAACTAGGACATTTGTTTTCTTAAAAAAACTCTTTAATATTAGTAGCAACAGTATATATAAAAAAAATCAGTAAAGTATAAATATATAATGATTAAATATGCCTAGACTTACCCATAATAGAAACCATAATATTCCAAATCCACCAAAGAAATAGAAAACATAAGCCCAATCTCTCCCATCAGCTAGCAGAATACCCGACATGAAGGACCCGAAGATGTTTCCAATTTGTGCACCTCCAAATACAAGGGCTCCTTGGAAACCCCTTTCGTGAGGAGGGACCCATCGCGCCAACATTATCATGAGCGCAGGCATGGTTGGACCCTGTGATATTACAACAATATTTACTGATATACTAAGACACGCTGACACGGCAGTAATTCCAGATAAATTAGTCAAAGACTTTGTCAACAGTCGATTTTGTGGTAAACGCAACCCTTAACATGCTCAAAATCCACTCGGTATATTTGAGTCCTCCCTAGTAACGAATTGTTTTGACGATCTCGATTATCTAGCGGTTTAGCATAGCGCCTTACTTCCAATAGGCATAAGATTGATTCCTCGCACGATATAACAAAATGTATTCATGAGTATATATGATTGTTTGTATTGGTCTGAGTTTTACTATTTATGTATTTAAAAAAACTATGAATTCAAGTATTACTATCGGTTATCTAATGACCACCCAAACTATAAGGGCGGTCAGAAATATAAAGCTTTTTTGTGTCTGCCAGATACGGACAACCTATAGGGAGATATTGAGTAGATGACGGTGCTCTCCACATATAAATTGCAATAAGATTCGTTTAATTTCCAAAATAAGTGAATTCAATCGTAATGAAATGTATCGATTTCTCAGTCAAATTAAACACAGTTGATAATTGTATAGATTAGATAAAGAAACATAAGAATTTACTAAATTATTAAAAAAACTAAAGTGAATTTTAAAAATCTTTTAAAAAAACACTTATTGTCTGAACAACTGACTTTAAATAGGAGGTCCTTTGTCTGAGGAATCTTTTTCAACGACCGAAGTCTGTAAGCATGGTCGGGAACAATAATGTCTGACTCACGGCGCGTTTAGCCAGCGACCTTATATATGCTAACAACACCTATTATATATGTACGTAGTATGTATAGGTTAACAATATATGTATAACATAACACATCACATCATTTTTAATCTATTTATATATTGTATAATGTTCTGTAATTGTATAATTGTTTAAGAGCTCGAAGTGTAATATATATACATTCACGTATATATGTATGTAAGTATTTAATTATAGGACTAACAGAATATCAGCGCTGCAGACTTATCTGTAGCTTCATGCTGAGTTGGTTGCCTCTTCATCATTGCGACACATAAAGCCACCTCCATTTTTATTTTATTTTGTAATATTATATTTCTGTATTATTTAATTTGTAAACTTTATTTCTATTTATAAAATGATCATGTATGGTATGTGTTTGTAATTGTTGAATAAAGAACTTATCCATCTATCTATCTAAATTAGCACATTTATATATTAGACATTTAGTTGAATTAAAAATTATATTATTGAAGTGACTTAAAATTGTATTAAATAAATTTGCTTTCAAAATTCCAACTTCATCGAATGTAGAAATGTTTGAAAGGGTAGGTAAGTTTAAAAGCATGTTCAAACTTTGAAAGCATATTGGATTGAAAAACTTAACCCTGTGATCTCTATCGCGAGTCACTACTAGGTCTGACGACATTCAAATCGACAACTCTCAGTTATTCCACAGAATAAACAAAATAAATCTCAATCTGATTCACTTTTCTACTGAATCCTTGAAACATTATCATGTTTATTTATAGAATATACCAATTAATTCGTAGTTTAGTACATTCAATTCCCATACCAAATGGAACATTGTTTGTATTTATGTTGTTTAATTTATTTATTGTTTAGATTTTTTCATATCGATTGAATCGTATAATTGTCAAATTAATAGTAAGTAAGCATTGAAAGCTTTTTGAGTGTCAGGTAATATTATTAAGCGCAAACTACAATAGCCAACCTATTTTGTTTTATATAGACTTTAGATATACGAGTATTATTATTTACATTTTAATTATATGTATTATAACTTTACAAACAGCGTATTGCTTACCAGCATTGCCCATTAACCGCTTTCCGTTTTTACTCTATGTTTAGCTGTTAAAGAATGCATTGGCATTATGATCGCCAGTTATACTACTTTTATACGCAATAGGATATAAATAAATAAATAATCTAATATTTACCTCTCCCATTCCTTGCAAAACTCGAAGTATAAACAACCATGTAGCTCCACCCGCTCTGATCACTACTGGAGTAAGGAAAGTGAAGAGAGCTGTACTTAACAATCCTACTCCCAAAGTCCATTTACCTCCAAATCGTTCAGCTAAATAGCCTCCAGGCACTTGGGTAGCTGCATAACCGTAGTAGAAACCACTTAGAATGAGACCCTGTGTTGATTGATCCCAGTCAAATATTGCATACTGAAACAATTGTACAAATATTGTATACAAATTGTACAAATAATGTATATACAAATATTCACGACTCTGATTACTTTGATACAAAAACAAATTTATGTTCATACATGTGATATAATCTATTTTCACGTTTACTTAATTTCATTAGGCAGTCAAGCCGTTTAATAAACAGACAGACAGATATATTTTTGCAATTGTATTGTGTGAAAAGTTTTTGTTTGAGACAAATAAAGATTATTATTATTATTATATCACAGTTTTTTTTTTATTCACCAATATATGTAATAGCTTTAACCAAAATAAGATCAGGTTAATTGGAAGTTAAAGTCGTACTGTGGGATCGCAATAAACAATATAAACAGATTTTCAACTTCCTTATATGACTTACATATATTTGTAATGTTATATTCATTTATAAATATAATAAATAACAATTATAAAATATATATTTATTTAAATACACTATTCCTAAAAAAATATTTTTAATTGTAAAACTCTACGACCATTATTATGGTCGATAATCATTAACACGTTTTTATATGTTTGTTTCAATATTATTGTATTACACCATTATCAAATTATTTGCATTGGACACTAAAATACCACGTTTTGTTTATAAAACAGTTTTTGGAATGTTTAAACCATAATATTTAAAACATAAGCTAATAGAGCTACTTTGTAATATCAAACCGTAATTTCAAGGTTTTTTAAAATACGTTCAAATTTTTATTTACTACTAAGTTAATGAAAAAATAAGGGTAAGTATTTTACGTTTTAAGTTTGTCATTTTAAAAGTATACATAATATATAAAAGACAGGATACAATATTTCAAGAACATATTATAATAGCTAGGTACGTATACAAAAACAAAATACAAATTTTAAAATTTTAAAAGAATCTTTTACCAACATTCCTTCATTTTTACAACAAAAGTAATGATTTTCAAAATCTAAAACCTTTATTACCCTTATTTAATGACACATTTTCTTCATGTATCAACATTTTTATTTATGTGTTATTATTTGCTTATTTAGTAGTCCGTATTTTAATGAAGAGTGATTCGGGTTGATCTAATTGATCTTTATAGCGTTCTCTTAAAACGGAAAGCTTCCCATGACTACTGGTAATTAAAACATTGTGACCATGTAAATATGTGTCAGGGTCATAAATAATTAAAGTTACGACGAACTAGTGATCTACCTCGGCTTTATGGGCGTTCGGTTTATGTAACAGGAGGCGTATAACTATATGCAAATGCGACTATGTAGGAAAATATCTCAAAACGATAGAGAAAACCGAAATCCGATGCATGGTTTAGAAGTAGGTGAGCTGAGAGACGGACTTTGCTATATATATAAAACAGGGACTTTGCTTTGTAACCATACGTTAAAACCTAAGGAAAATTAGAATTACTTATTTCCCTTTACGTCATTTGTTGTGTACAAGAATATATATTCATTCAGTATTCATTTAGTATATTCAGTTTTAAGTAATATTGAATCCAGGCTTATAAGATAAGATCTCTAAAATTATTTTACCTGTACGCTATACATTTCTTAACACAGTTTATTTAATTTCCAAACAAGCTAATTACCTACCTGATGGGAAGGGGTAACAATCGCCTATATAAAATATATACATTAATATTACCTATAGGCATCAGGTACCATACGATAAATCCCGTAATACCATTCATACCTCTTATCCTATAATTTCACTGCCTTACCGAAACCTAACTTACTAGGCGCCTGTAATAAGTAAGACTATTGGAGGTATCCAGACAAATTTTTATATATATACATATTTGATTAAACTTATATTCAGTAAAATAATTATATTCAGTTAAATAAACCGTACAATTGAAAACGTAGTATTCTTAATCTACATAAGGTTGGAAAATAAGCAACACATAATTAATTTGATTAACATATATATTGAGACTATCGATTCTGTCCTTTTTTTAAAGTACTTCTACACTAACACATGCCTGTACTGTATAATTTATTTAAAAAATACATTTTAGTTTTTAACAAAGCTGTTGTAATAATAAAATGTAAGTAACTAACTGTTAAGTACAATATTTAGTACACTGACATCAAACCATTGCATTACTTATATCAAACAATGATCTTGTATTAAACTTTTTAAACCCTACGGCCTTATTACAAAAAGATAAACCTTTTAGCACTATAAACCACAAAATGAAGTTTATCTCTAAATCGTGATTCGTCTATGGTCTAAAGTTAGACCTGCGATTAGTTTAACAGTGGTCTAAATGCAAAAAGTCAAACTCCATTTTAAAAATTGTATTGTAAGTTGTTGTTTTTCGAAAAATATTTTAACTAAATTAAAAATATATTAACTAAATATATTGAAAGCTAATTTTACGATAATAAAAATATATAAAAGACGTTATTTGTTATTTTTGCATTTTGACTTTGAAATAGTCACCATTCGAATCGATCCATAAAAATATCCCGCCGTTCCTTTTCTCCTACTTGTAATAACTGATTTTCGGCCTAATAGTACATTAACAAATATTATATATTAATGAAATAGTTATAATGAAGACATAAATAGAAATAAATATATATTTTTTATTTGAATTAATCTTTTCAGTTTTCTGGTAAAACGGAACGTAATTGTAAGACATGAGTGACTGATTTCTGTATGTAATATACTAGTACTAAGTAGTACTAAGTAGTCCTCTGTTAGATCTGGATTCGTAATAATGTTAGGCTTATTCCAAGTATTAACTTTAGGAATGGTTTAAACCACGACCATTTAGACCACGTTTCGTCCGAGTTTTAACAGATTTTTTGTAATAAGACCATAAGTAATTAATACTAATGTCTACGATGGTCCAGCGGATTAGCACACAGTGCACCGCTATAATTCTGATGACTACATTTCATTCAGAGTCGAATACTACCTTGCTCGATACATTAAGTATATATTTAAAAAAAAATTACTTAAGTATTCCTATCTGTCGTATAGAACTCACAATACAAGTAGTTAGTCTAGTTTGGGACTATATGGCACTATTATAATCGTCTTTATTTATTATTACTATTATCATAAAAAAAATATATAAAAAACTTTTTAATAAGAAAACATGCGTCATAAAAGTTCAGCCGTTAGAGACCTGAATCAGATAATGAAAATAATATAAAACATAAGTTATCTGGTAACTTACCGGTTTATCAACCTCAACTGTCGTAACATTATTAATTACATCGTCACTGGGACAAGCGTTTTCATCAAAATGATCGTTTGAAGTTTTGTTCAGCCGCACCATCTGAGTTATTGCTAAATTGAGACACACTCGCATTGTATACGCATTGCATACTCCAAGTAAACCCATAACACCTAAAATATACCGCTGAGGTATAACACAACCTGAAATAGAGAAAAATATTTAGAAATAAGTTTTTATTCGATATCATAAGCATTTTAGAATGATATTAATCCGTAGATAGCATAGTTAGAATTACTTCACATACGACTTCGTATAGACAAAACAACTCTACTTACTTTATCCTGTGATATTTAATACGTAAATTCGGGTAAAAGGTCAATCAAGGTTATATTCTACTATTTTTATGCATCAAACTTCATTTAAAGTTTTAATGCATCCATCCATACTTACAAACTTTCATTTGTATAGTATATAAGGAATACTAAAATGTTTATGGGAAAATTCATAAATGTTCATTCAACATTATATGGTATATACTTTTTCATTGCAAAACTACTTTATCAACGATAACTGATAACCATGCAAAGGATATTTGCTCTGCTATAAGATATGTTAGTTGTATTTATTTTGCATTCCATGTCAATGAACTGTTGTACGCCAGTGACGTACAGTTGCATCAAAATAAGTACAATGCAAATCTAGAATACAGAACCAACTATGGGAAAGTGCAGTGTGGGAAGCTTCTGACCCACATTTTCAATAAGATGGGCTGTGGGTGCTTCCATTATTGTAGAACGAATTTGCTATAAATGCATTAATATTGGATTGTCATTTGAAACGTAGGCGTACGAGTCTTTCTAAAATGTATTGTAATGTAAAAAAGAAACAGATATCAACAACAAATCACACTTTCTAGCATGAGGTGCGGACAAGACAAAGAACCATAAAACAATTGGGGTAATAAGGTTGAATACCTGTAATTAATGTAATTCAACGTATATTTTGTATACGTTGAATTACATTAATTATAATTTAAATTACTTGATAAACACTAAATTTATTAATACCAGCTGACCCGCGCAAGTACGTATGCACACTTACTTAACATTTATCATAATATTTCATCTAATTTACATAACATTCTTCTTAATGCATGTGTTATTCTGATGTATAGGCTATATTACTGTTAAGTTTCATCAAAATCCATTCAGTAGTTTTTGCGTGAAAGACTAATAAACATCCATCCATAATCACAAACTCTTGCGTTTAAAATATTAGTAAGAATTCTTATATAGATAAGTTTAATTATTTAATGTATTGTTATTTACTGTAATAGTGGTCTAGCGGTTTAGCATACCGCTTTATTTCCGATAGTTGCGGTTTCGATTCCGCGTATGATGCAAACAGTCGTATTCATGAGTTTTTGTATTTAAATTGGTTTGGATATTTTGTATGCATATTAAGTGTGTATTTGTGTGTGTGTGTATTTGCAATAATGAAAGTATTTATATCAGATGTCTAGTATAACATAAGCTCTGGTTGGATTAGAACCTGGTGTTGCGTGAATTGTCCAGTGTTATTAACAATATTACTTACATGATCGTAGGGTTCTAGTTAATGCATTATCTACTCTTCTTGATGGTACTGCTGTTTTTTGTCCAAGCAGGTTACGCGCCTGCGCAGGTGCTTCGCTTTCCTCCATATTTAAATCCAATTTTTAAATATTTAATGAACACTTTCGATATTGTCAAATATTATTAATGATTGTATAAATCTGAAAAATAATTATCTATTCAGTGTTCTAGTAAATATATAATACATACGTGTAAACTACATGTTCACCGGGAAGTTCCATCAGATGTACCATTGCCTATATTAAATGCGTTAGTAAGTAAACTTGTTTATGCAAGTAATTTTTACAAGTACAGAATATATCTTAGAAACGAATGTAATGGTAATAATAATATATAGACTTTCAAATTTTTTTTTAATTTTTTATATTTAATAAATATTTATCAAACTTAATATTTGTAATATTCTATCTTAAGTAACTTGAATTCACATAAGAGCGCTTTTTTTACTGTTCTAATATTGTTGGCCTAGTCTGTAACAGTTTAACAGTTTCATAGGACGAAGCATACAACAAAATATTTAAAATATAACATTTAGGAAAAAATATGTTAAATGGATTTGCACGTACAAAACGACAGTCAACATTTACTATGAAACAGTGTCGTTTATAGTATTTTATAAGTATAGTATTTCTATTTCAACTGGACAATATACCTCCGTATATGTATGCTTAATGACTGTATTTAAATACGGTAACTACAAAATAATCATTTTATTCATAGTGGTAAAAAAAATTGTTTCGTTATATAATGACATTTCACACTTATGCGCAGTTTTAAAATAAATCTTTTGCGACTTATTTTTAGCCTAGTATTAACTTTGAAATATTCATTGGTTATTATTTTAATAAAAATTTTGATAAAATCTTTTAAAATAAAAACCAGCTACATTAAACAATTTTTTAGTGTTTTAGCTAAAAATCTCTTTAGCCGTTATATTGTACACGATTTTTTTTTGACATGAATAATATTATTTATTATTTTTTACTATATTAAAGGACGATTTGAAATACAGAACTTTCATATCCCCCTGTACCCTCTCCTTCCTTTACCACTTCAAAGTTTATTTCTAGCATAAAATAATCAATATCAAGTTGTAAATGTTGTAATCCCTGTTATCGACAAGTTAAAATTGAATTGAGGCGGTCATAGTATAAAAAGCATAATCTTTACTCAAACTCTTATCTTATCTCTATCAGTTTGAAACGCCGGCATTAATAATAGAATTTTCTACTGATACAGCACACTAGTTACGTCTACAATTTTTTTGCGTGTATAGGCAAAAAATTATCGTTATTTTTTTTATATAAGTATATATTTTTACTTTTTGAAACCAGTCATCAAGTAAAATCAACTACTACCCGATCTACTTTAGTAGAGAAAATAAATTATATCATTATTAATGAAATCTGTAAATAAATGAGTTCTAAAACCCTTTATTATTAATGAATGCAAAAATATTTAATAAGTTTGTACTATCTGTGCCATAGTAACTCCTAGAAGAACGAATGGGCCGATTACGATGTGGTAATTTTTTGTTTGAAAGCAAATCTAGATGGTTCTTTACTACAATTTATTAAAGATTGTTTTATGATTCCGCAATCATGGGTTGAACCATGTTTAATTTTTTATAATAATAAAATATATTATCACTAATACATTTAATCTACTTATTTTTACAGAAATGCTAAAGCACATACAATGATGATTTTCAAAAACATCCCTTTCCCTAATTTCTGAATAATATTTGCTTGATATAGCGTTAAACCACTCATAAACCACAAATAAATATAAATATTAAACTATATTTAATAACAATATTGAACTATACTTTATACGATATATTAAATCGACATTAAAATAAAAAAATAACAATGTAAAATAATAACAAAGTACTACACTTTTAGCAAGTAACTTGTTATCTATATATAATAATATATAAATACCTACTTTGGATGTTCTGTTATCCATTAAAGTGTGATTATATGAAATAACTAATAATTGGTTTTTATAAACAATAAATTTACAATCACATAAGTATATTTTATTATTTTTTATAACATTCAGACAGCATTTTTTAATTTAAGTGAATATTTGAAAGCGTTTTAAGCATACAAGGTGTTACCATAGGTATGTACAATAGGTATTCTGTTGAGTAATAATAATTTCCCGATGTAATATGAGTATTTAATAAATTCTAGTGTGTACTTAGGTCATCGCGCTTGGAATTTGAACATTTTTAGATTCATGAGAAACAAAAGCTAAACTTTATCTAAAGACTAATTGTCATTTAGATTTGTAACAATATTATTAAATTTTAAAATATTATGATATCGAATGTTGCTTATAAATCAAGTACTAAGTAATATTAATTAGCGAATGTAGCGAAGTCGAACTTTACCGTTATAGAGAAATCGACTTACGATAGCATTACGTAAAGAATATTTAAGGATTTTTGTAAAATAATTCTTTATTTTGTGTCAAATCTACTGATTGCTAACCTTTAAAAATGACTAGAATCTCAACCAAATTTATAATCCGTCTTCAAGCGTAAGTATAATACAAGAATAGATAAAATATGTACAAAAAGAATATATTTATATGTGCGCTCTTTTTAAAGTAATTAATAATAGTTTTTATATCTGACCAAGATCAATAAATAAACATAGAAATACTTACGGAGTAAACTTATACAATAATTTCAGTCATTAATTACAATCAAGCACTGCACTACTCCACATTATAAACATGCATAAAAACAATCACACATGCACTAAAATTGTTGCAAATCACAATATGGCATGCGCACGAGTTAACTCATTTATGTATGTGTATTATCAATTTTATTTATATGTGCGTCCGATCACTATGCGTGTTTCCTACAGAGCGGATAAATGGCGAATATTGTCATCTGGTGTATATGTTACCGACGCTGGTTACATAGGAACCAAAACCACGAGGTGGTTAGCCTTGAATCAAGTAAAGACCACTGCTGACTCGAACGATTCGTCGTATTAAGGTTCAGTTACACCGAGCGAGCGAATTCGCATTCATTAAATGAAATTTTATTGGTATAAAATTAATATTATACAAGCGTTCTCACGTTTTTTTCCTTCTTCGATTGTACTTAATCCAAAGTCGTATTCCCAATATACATTCGCGGTATGATTATAACCAAGTTATAAAATTATTAAATATATAAGATTATCCTTGAATTATATAGAGAAGGGAATTATGACCACGTAATAATAGTAACTTGTCAGATCGACTTCTACACGGTCTCTCTTTAAACCATCGGAATTAATTGCTCGTGAATTTATCATGATAGGTTAACTGACCTGACTTCATCCTCATAATATTATCCTCCATTGGTGTCCTGTCAATATATATCGTTGGCAGTCGGTAGGGTTCACCACTCCATTATCATTAATTTCGTAAAACATATTAAGGTGCATTTATCTGACAACTACTCCTTTAATTTTTGTTTAAACACTTATATACTCACATTAAAACAAGGGGGAAAGGCGAAGGCGGAGGCATTTCGTTTCTTTATTTATGCTTTTTGTTTGAGTACTATGTGACTATGTACCTAATATACTAGGCAAAAACGAACTGTCTACATATATGGTACAGTCAAAATCAAGGCATGCGTGCAAAATGGTAGCTTTTAAATAGTTGATAGAAATGATATTATAATATAAAACAAGATCCCATTTTGCCCTCATTCTAGTATTTACTTTAAATTTTTCTATAGAAAATAAAATTAAATATGTTTTACTTCATATATAAAAATACTATAAATATTAAAGTCTATAACAGAGTAAAATTAATTAATACTGGTCAACAATAAAAACTATAATATTTTCTGTATAACTGTATTATTGTAGGGAATCTGTACTGCTTGTCCCAAAGTACAGGACTTTTCCTATTAGGGAGCAGGGTTTCACCTTATTTTTAAGTATAAAATGTAACATTGTATAGTGCTGTTAATAAATAAATAAAAATACTAACTGACTAATTACTCAACTGACAATATAGACTTATTCACAAACCAAACCATATAATTTATTTTACCTAATTTTTATTATTGAGTTAGCATGTTAAATTATAAATGGAAACTTCTTCTTAAAGAATATTCTGGACTACTCCAGTTTGGTCGCATATTGAACAATTTTTATTTCATATTATCGTTTATGTAATATTTTGTTTCAAATACTTTTATTATTATAGATAAAATAAATAAAACTACATGCTACTACTGACTGAATATCTACTCGGAATAATTTAGTTCTAATTCCAAGGAAATTATACAAGTATAAATACAGGATAGCGTATAAATGTCAAGCAATAATAACTTGGACGCACATCCTTACGTACGTCTTTACGTGTTTTGTGATATCTATGCGTTACAACTATAAAACAAAATGAGGAGATTCAAATTTATAATTTTTGTAATTGGAATGAGTACTCCTGATGGCATGTTGTAACTGTCACCTTTATTGATGATCAGCATAGTAGACATGTGATGCTTGTAATATTACTCATGCATTACCATTCCGAAAGACTAAGATATTATGCCTTAACCCTGTAAGTTCACTGTCCACCCTTCAACTGCAACACAGATTACTAAAGAAGTTGCTCGGCTGCTAAATAATGAGAGACTGAGGTAGCCACGCAGACAATTTATAGCAAAATCAATCTTGGTAAGTTTCAGTTTCTCAGTTTCATAACAAAATTGGAAAAAACAATATCACAACATAACATATAAGTTAAAAAAACATGTAATTTGAAATAGTCATATAGTTTCATAGTTTGTTGGACTTACAGTACATAATATCGACTATAATATGAGCTTGATCTACATTTTATTTTAACATTTATAGAGATATATGAAGGTTCAAGCGTAGTTGTTATATCTGAATGAATAGAAATAATATTTCATGTTTACCTATAATGTTACAAAAAAAAGCGAAGTTTGTCTGCACATATTACTCTTTGTCCGTCTGCTCTGTGAAGTTTATGTTCCACCAGTGCCAGAATAATAAATATAAAAAGATTCTTGATAAATGTCCCAAACGTAGGTACATGTTTACTCTGATTATTTATTATTAAAAATGTAGTTTTAGTAATAAAGAACAGTTAACTACTAGTAAATGTGTATATCAATAGCAAATATAATACTTATCTTTTTAAAAAACCATCCTAATCTCCTGTATGAAGGGCCATCCTCAATAGTACTTACCGATAAGTTAACCTGTAACTCTGTAATTCCCCTGTTATTACAGGTGCTTATGGGTGTGATAATCCCGTACCATCCGGTCTTGCGTCAGTTTTTTTTGTATGGCGTTGGGGCAAATATGCTATCAAAAAAAAGCATTGAATACCTATATTATAGTATATCTACAGAACTTTATAAAATATCTATTAAGTTAGAAACTTATTTAAAATTTCTATCCCAATATCATAAATGTTAATTTAGGTTACAATGTCGGTTAAAACGAATAGGTAAGAATCTCAACTTCACACAATTGAGTTAATTATTTTCATTACTGATTTAATTGTACATATATACCTAAGATTAACGAATCGTTCAGAAATCTGAAATATACTTAATATACAGATATATAGATTAAGTATATTTAAAAATCCGAGTGTATCAATAAATTTATATAAAAACTTAAGGTATTATAAATTTTAAATGCTCTCTTTTTTTATATGTATATAATGTAAATTTGAACTCAAATGCTTCTTTTTCAAATCAAATTATGTCTGGATGTCTTTATTGGTGTGTTACAGACTCTTATGATGTAGTTAATAACCTCTGGCAATACTTTTATGAACTCCTGCGATACAGGTTCGCCTAGTGCGGTAAATCCAATGTATAAAGTTATGTGAGTCAGACGTTAAAGTATTGTAATTTAGTCTGTATATACCTTTACATTCTGTTTACGTATCAATACCTGTTATATGGTTTAACATTATTACAAAAGTTGCGCCGGCGTCGAGCTTCTCAGGTTCTTAGCAAGCATACCTATATTTGAATTTCAAAGCTATTTTTATCCTTTAGCCAAATAATACTAATTTAGTATAATGTTCCTATTTATATTTCCACTGTTGAATATATTAACTGTAATAATTAGAAAATAGTGTTTTTGTATTGCTTTCAATTATTTTTTGTTATTTTTAATTAATAAAGTAATATAATAACATTAAGAAACCTTATCGAAAGAGACTAACTGTGTTTTATATTTTTCTTGCTTTTTTTTCAATATGAATTTTGATGTAAATTTTATATCATAAAGACAATCCATTCTATAGTTTAACCAAATAACTATACGCAACACTTTTGTTAGTTACTGTTTATATTTATTTCTAATAATTTACAAAGCCTAACTGAACTATTATAATCAAGATTATACATGTAGAAGACAAAAAAGAATAGAAGTTCATATTTTAACTCATTTATTGATATAACTAAATATTTTTGTGTAATAGTAAACATAACAATATTTTTATCAGCAAATCATACGGCTATAGATATCATAGTTAATAGACTTCAAATGATTGATAACATACGCGTAATATGAACTTGACCCTTAAGATAATTGGGCTATAGTTTTACATATTGTTATGGTATTTCTAGTTAACATAGTAGTTGAATAGCGGAGGTGTTGAAGGGCATTTTAAGGAAATTACAACATTGTATAAATATACAATTTTACGGACTATACTTTTGTTGACAACTGGTCAAGAATATCTTAGGTTAGTGTTGTTATTATTGACAATCAATAAAAACTTTAGTCTTTACTGTTATTTGTAAAGTCTCTTGAATATTTTAATATCTTTATTAAACCGTCAAAAAGTTTTGACGGTTTACTGGGTTTCTTTTTTTTGTTTTGCATGTGACTATGCATGATAGAATGGGTTTTCTTACGTGATATGTTTTACCCGCCCAAGTATAAAAACTGCACTACGGATGTTCCAGAGAAACAAGATATCAAGACTCTTATCCTGCCATCTCATTAACCAATCGCAAAGAAAGTTGCTTGTTGAATGGCTACAGTAAAATAGATGAATCTGAGTAAAATACACAGACGACTTTAATTAGACTTGAATTCGAATTTAATTAGATTGTAATAAATTTTATATCAACTATGTCTCAGATTAGTGTTCACCTTATCAAGGAATCAAAATATTTATGGATAATATAATAATCTGATTAAATTTTATCTTCTAAATATCAATGCTAATTCTATAAAAAAAATCCATTATCTCAAATACTAACAATAAACTACTACTATTACCTACGTATCAGAAATTTGTAGGTTAATATTTTTTTACATTAACTTTTGACCTACATTAAGATCACACATCTATAAGATGAACTAAATAGATATATAAAATACATTAACTTAATTATAACGTAACGACTTAGCATTAAAATTTTTGAATCCTGCTATATGCTGATCCAAAAACGTTAATATATATATTTAAAATAAAATTCTAAGAATTTAATTAATGTTCTATGAATTTTATATTATAAATATTAGGAACATCCATGTTGTGGTTATGATCATAATTCAACACAAGAAACAAAATTGAGTAGATACTGTTATAGTTTGCGAAATAATAAAAAGACTGGTCTATTACAGGATTCAACGATATAGCTCCAGTATAGGTACATGAATGAGATTAGTGTAAACCATATTTGGCGACCACAGTCCAGAGTCGCTAACCAATTTACATACAACATATGCAGCAAACTTGAATACAAATGTCTCGAATTGCGACCTTCATCTTTTATATAATATTAATTATATATGTAGGTACCGTCTTTAGGTATAGCATTTAAATTTATGAACGCGAAAACGTAATCCATAAATCGGCCAATCAACTCTTAAGGGCAATCGT